CAGAACATCAAACCATAAATAATAAAAAACAACTTCAATGAGTTTAGAACGAACACGAAGAAATAGTCCTGGTACTTTTAACATCCTAAATAAAGACAACGAGTGCCATTATTTCTGATATTTCGTCGAACAAAATACATTGTTTTCTTCTACAACCGCTCTTGCAGGAACAGGTAAACCAATTAATACTGTCGCGAACAAATGATTTACAGGCAGTTATAATGGATATTTCTCTAAGGCGACTTGCTTCTAAATTAATTAATTTCTCGAATATAACTAATAGTTAGGTGAGTGTGAGGCAGCGGCGTAGCCAGGGGATGACCATTGGACAATTGCCCAATAAATTGGTAAAAACTTATGACATTTTCCGCTTTTATTCTCTTCAGGTAACATAATGTTTGTGGTGCTAATAAGTATGCAAAAACTATAGCCCAAGTGATTTTGAATTGCTCATTGTTGCCCAATCTGCAAAATAATTTAGCTGGGAAATGGCCCATGGCTCAGAAATTTCTGGCTACGCCACTGGTGTGAGGTATGAGTGTTTATACTTAGATTCTAAATACTCACATCCTAGTTTCTATAGTTATGTTTGATACTCTATCTGATAATAAATTGCCATTCATTGTAAAGAAAAGCAATATAAAAGTCAAAATAAAGCTTTTTTTCTTTGTAGATTTTTGCTTTAACGTAAATTATGATTTAATGTTAATAAGTTTTTTTACCCAGTTTTTATTGAATATATACTCTGGTCAGCACTAATACATCTAGAGAAATATAACATACACTTAAAACCCAATTACAGATTGGCTTAGTCCTATCCGAGATTGGTCGTATTGATACTTTAATCTAATATTGGACTAAATCCGAGACTGAACGCTAATATATATATCGATGACTTGTTACTCGTTTGCTGAGTTGCAGTTCATAGGATCACATTATTTCCACTGGAAGCATTGCGACCGAGCCGATCTCCTCATTTATCTATCAATAGATTCAGATCGAGTTATCTTATCGGATATCTAAGTATATAACTGCATCAGTGAAAGCTTTTATTAATGAAAAATTTTTGATATCAATAATCATATAATTGATGTTTCAATATACAGAAATGTTGGAATCGTTTTTTATTTAATTTTACTTGCTTCCTTTCATAACTCGTGATAACCTATCGGTTGACAGACGATCATTTTTGTCAGTTAAAAGCTATACTGCTGACTGTTTATGTAAGAATTTCGTCGTATCATTAATTTTCACTTTGAAATATGAGTTTGCTAAATCAGGATTAATCTTACCTTCGATACGTGTTCCAGAAAAAAATGCTTTTATAGATTGTACATGTTCAGCTTTTTCTTCATTATCAGATGCACCGTTCTCATGTTCATCATTACTACTATTATAATCATTGTCTTCATCATCGTTATTTTCGTACCATATAAAACATTGCCATTCAAAACGAGATGGTTATACAAATATGGGTGAATAGATTAAAATGTTTTGTTGTGTAAATTGTTCAGTTAAATGAAGATATATTGTTGAATAAAAAGAATAATCTATTCAGTTTTAATTATTTTAATTATGTGAATGTATCTCGAGTTGCATTCTAATTTTGCTCAAGCAATGTCTAGTCAAAATTAGAATTCCAATTTTGCCTAGGCAAATTTAAAATTTGTCTGAATCTCGATTTTGCTCACAACATATTATATATTAAATGTGTATTGTCGTGATATTTATATACAAATGATAAACGTTTTATTTAAGAATTTATGTTCAATATTTTTGTTCTGTTTTTAAATACGTGACATTACTATCAATCCGCCTTCTGCTGCTAAATTTTTTTAAAATGTCTATATTCAAATCTTCTTCATTTTCATTTTGACATTTATGAATTATATTCTATTTTCTTGTATGTTTACTGATCTTAATCTAAAATATATATCGAAAGAGATCAATCTGCAATTTCAAAATTTGAAAAGAAGAAATTCTGTGTGAGAAAATTACGATAAACATCCTTAGACTGTTCTATTAATTGTTGATGTATGTGAACAGATTTTTCTACAATAGTACCATTTCTAAGGGCTTTTGGACTGAAGATTCCAAGGTTCTGTAGAATTCCGTCGGATTCCAGGATTCCGTTTTTTTCCCCTTACGTTATTTGATGAAATAACTGTTTTCATTCTTATCAGAGTCACCACCAACAACGACTGGCGATAAGGAAACCTTTGATACTGCTATTTCGCAGACATCTGGACATAAATCGGGTAGGAGAAAACTTCTTCTGAGATCTATTTTCAAAGAGTAGTGCCGGATCTATAACGATCGATTTCGAATACAGGCACTGGCAAACATTCTAATGAAGCTCGAACGGCTCTAATGCAACAAATCCTAACACGACTTATTCAAGGAACAAAAAGGGGTGGTGAAGACGATGGACATGAATTGCATCATGTCACATGTGATGGATGTGGAGATAGTCCTATACACGGTGATCGTTACAAATGTTTGCAATGTGATAATTTCAATCTATGTAGTGGATGTTTTGAACGTCGTGCTGAACCCAAAAAACATAAGAGTGGACATTTATTCGTCCATTTCCGTTTACCAAACGAACTCTTTGGTCGAGCTGTATCCAATAATGATGTAACGCTCGAGAAACTCATAGAATTCTATGCCAAAGAAGTAAACAAATCGGCTACCTGTGACGGATGCCAAATTTTAGACTTTGTCGGATTACGTTTCAAATGTGATTTGTGTCCGGACTATGATTTATGTTTAAAATGTGCTACTACAGGTGTCACAACGAATGATCACAAATTAACACATCCATTGATTCTTAATTCTCGTCGAGTGATCGTACAGATATCTATAAATGATATTGAACTGGGTGAAAAATTGGGCAGTGGTGCTTTCGGTAAGTGTTTCTATTTTTTGATCTGTTGAACGCTTGACTATTTTTAAGGTGCCGTTCATAAGGCTCGATGGATATCAAAAAATCGTCCAGTAGCCTGTAAAATAATTGTTGTGCCTGATAGTAACGAGCCTAGTTCTCTAGAGAAAAGTTTTGTCAAGGAAATGTCTGCTTACATAGAATTATCTGGTGGTTACATTCTCAAAACGTATGGATATGCTGGGGGTCGACAGGGAAACAAAAGTATTTATATGATCATCATGGAATATATGTCACGTGGTAGTTTAACAAGTGTAATCAAGAGTAAAACCAAAATATGTCTACAGCAAAAAGTCAATATGGCCAGACAGATCGCTAGTGCGATGCGTAAGATCCATGACCATCACATGATTCATCGAGACATTCGACCAGATAATATTTTGGTTAATCAACAATATACGTGCAAGATCGGTGATATGGGCATTGCACGTGTTGTTGACCCATTAAATCAGCATACGCGTATTGGCTGTCAATCTTCCTTGCCACCAGAATTTTACAGTGGCACATATGATCAAAAACTGGATATTTTCATGTTTGGCCTAACTTTGAATGAATTCTTTACTGAAAAACAGCACAATTTTCGAATGTTTGCTAAGGAAAAGATTGTCTTTCAAGAAGAGAGTCCAATCTTTCAAGAACTGATTACTCGATGTACAGCCTATGATCCAAAGCATCGACCAACAGCAATCGAGATTGAAAAGACTCTGGAATTTTATGTTGAAGGTTTCGAATCCATTGTTCTCAAGAACAATCCTGACTATGTTCTCTTATCTATTGAACAAAAGAATCAAGTTTACATCAACTTCTATGAACAATTCCACAAACCAGCAACAGAATTCATTCGAAAACAATTTCCAGCAGAATTTCTAGAAGGATCTACAACTGTCGCTGGCGTAAGAGTTAAACAGGCTGATGATGAAGATGATGATGGACCGAAAATTATTTGTCATCTTCAATAGATTGAAATAACTTTAACTGAAGTGGATCGATTTTCATTTTATACTGCATTCCGAAAAAGTACTGAATCATTCAAATACTTTTATTTTTATCGTAACCTTTTTTTAATCAAATAGAATCGTTGTGTTGTCTCACAGTAATGATAATTTTTCATACAGTTGATAATCATATTGCTCAGAAAATTCTTGCTTGGCATAGCAAAACGAAATAGCACTATTTTGATCCTGATTTATGGAAGTCAATGCTTCTAATGTCTGCAACCATCTAACTTCTTTGAATAGAACGAGACAGGGAATATATTGTAGCGCATTAGGCGCAGCCTGATGACCGTAGTGCGTCATTCATTTGCTAAAATATACAAGTAGAAACACACCGAGCAAATTCATGAAATTTGTATTCAGCCAGTGACAGTTGGTTCTAATATCTGATAGAAGTAGTTTGAAAATCACATTTCAAATACGAGAAGTATTTGCAAAAACAGCTGACGAGGTGTGGTTGTGGGTACGGGGTGGGAAGTAGAGATCTGCGGAGTACTCCGAAACCTTATTCCAACTCTGACTGAGTCGGAGTCAGCAAAACGAAATTTTTGGAAGTCAAAATCATGATCACCTCTGATGAGCTTTTGCTATTTTGAAATAACAGCAGCTTTACTTTTCAACTTAACGAACAAAAAAAATGGAAGATAACACTTGCTACATATATTAAGAATGAGTTTCAAGAGAAAAAATCCGTATGGATAACCTTTCGGCTATATCATTCGAAAGACCGCCTACGTAAAATCATAATTTATATCAATGAAAACATAATTCTCCTCATCATCAATTTTCGACTCCTTGGGCATAGTACATGTTGAAAACTTCTCTGTAATTGTTTTTTATTCTCATTGCATAAGAAATGAAAAAAGAAATTCAATATTAATCTTTTCATGATTCTTGGATTTTCCTTTACTTCTTTGTCCCTTTATTGATTAGGAGGCTACATTACTATTACTAGTAGTAAGTAATAGCATATCAGGTTATTAATTATTGTGGGTAAGGGTGTGTGAGTGTGGGTGAATGTGGATATCGATAGAGGTAACCCACCCACACATACACTCACTCCACGTTCACACACTCACACTCACACCCACACATACACTCACTCCACGTTCACACACTCACACCCACACCCACACCCACACTCACACTCACACCCACACCCACACCTACACCCACACCCATACCCACACCCACACCCACACCCACACCCACACCGACACCGACACCCACACCCACACCCACACCCACACCCACACCCACACCCACACCCACACCCACACCCACACCCACACCCACACCCTTCCTCGATAACAAAGGATTGTAATAGCTCTCTATTATTCTCAAAAAAAGTATTTGTTTAATACAGGCTTAAGCCAATGGACTTGACTATTGAAGAAACGATAGTTTTGATCTTGGAAAAATTCTTTTGAATATTTCACAAAAAAATCTCTTGTATTTGACTGACTATGTTCGAAACACTTCTCGGTTTGTTTTTTTCTTTGGAAGAATGTTTGCCTTCGCAAAGAGAAGGCACAATATTTACAACAAAAGAACTCTTCATGATAAGTTACATTAACGGAGAGAAAAAAATACGAAATTGTTCTCTCAACTCTCTTTTCGAATAAAATTTCTTCTCTCATAGAATTATAAAAAGAAAGGTTTCATTGTGCATAAACTCGACTATTTGCTTTTGTTTTTGTAGTTGCACGGAGCATGATGTGGTAATAAAACTTGTCAACGAGAAAATATTTCTTTCTTGTTTCATTTTCTTGACTACGCCAGAACTGTCTGTTATTTTTAAAATTATTCCTTTTCTAAGAACTGTTTTTTTTTCTTTTTTTTCTTTTTTTTAATCCAGTTTGTTTACCAAGGAGAATGTAAGGTCGGAAAAATTCAAAATTCGAACGCTTTTTATTTTTTGGGTTTCTATGCATGGTTAAATACAATTCAACGAGCTGAATCTGAATATATATACTATATTCAGAAAAAACTGTTCTTTGATGTCAAAAACCCAAAAAAACAGTTAAAAAATCCAAGGTTTTGAAAAGCTAGCATTTTTGGAGAAAAATGCGCATAGCTTCTTCACAAAATTTCGTATAGCTTTGAAAGAATTTTTTTCTTAATCTATATGATAAACTGATTCTAAAAATGTAGTTACTGATCATCCAGCTCTTGTGCGTATGTTTGGGAAATGCTGTTTATATCAAGAGTTCGAAAGCAGCATTTTACCCCAGGAAAAAGGCATCAAGTCATTTCTAAATAGAGATAAAGCCTTTTTTCATCATCGTTAGACTCACCATATCAAGCTGATAAAAGTTACATATTTTTTTCTTTTAACTCACTTTCTTTGTTGAGATATGGCCACAATATCAAAATACTACCAATGACCAGAAAAAATTATGCCTAAATCTAACTGTTTCAGTATCAAAAGTTGTTTTTCCAGCAAAATCAATATCATATTCGGAATCAACATAGAAAACTGAGTCTAGTAACATAAATTTCATTAAAAACCATTTTCTGTCAAAACCTCGCCCTAGTCTCCCTCAGCTGTTTTCTGTATGGATTCTGTCTGTGGTCCCCCACAGGTGGGTTTTTGACAGAAAATGGTTTTTAATGAAATTTATGCTACTAGACTCAGTTTTCTATGTTGATTCCGAATATGATATTGATTTTGCTGGAAAAACAACTTTTGATACTCAAACGGTTAAATTTAGGCATCATTTTTTCTGGTCATTGGTAGTATTTTGATATTGTGGCCATATCTCAACAAAGAAAGTGAGTTAAAAGAAAAAAATATGTAACTTTTATCAGCTTGATATGGTGAGTCTAACGATGATGAAATAAAGGCTTTATCTCTATTTAGAAATGACTTGATGCCTTTTTCCTGGAGTAAAATGCTGCTTTCGAACTCTTGATATAAACAGCATTTCTCAAACATACCCACAAGAGCTGGGTGATCAGTAACTACATTTTTAGAATCACTTTATCATGTAGATTAAGGAAAAAATTCTTTCAAAGCTATACGAAATTTTGTGAAGAAGCTATACGCATTTTTCTCTAAAAATGCTAGCTTTTCAGAACCTTGGATCTTTGAAGTGTTTTTTGGGTTTTTGGCATCAAAGAATAGTTTTTTCTGAATATAGTATATATATTCAGATTCAGCTCGTTGAATTGCATTTAACCATGCATAGAAATCCAAAAAATAAAAAGCGCTCGAATTTTGAATTTCCCCGACCTTATAACTAAAAGCAAAGTTGGAAATATTCCAGTGAATGAAACTCGTTTATGGTATTGCCTAACAAAATCTATCAAATTTCAGAATAGGTAATTGCACACATCTAGCGATCGAATCGTTTTATGTATTTAACTTGTGTCTCTATCCAAACATTAAAATTTTCTTTATAATTGAATTAGTTATTTATTCATTCTATTGAATGTTTTGCTACAGAATTCCAGTAGAGCAATAGATTTATTCATTAGAGATTATGTCACATAGACTGAAAATCGTACAGACTGCCCACGGCAATTTTTTTTAAGCCTCTGTAAGCCGCGACTTCTCGAATCTCACCGCGGTAATACTCGAGAAAACCGCGGTGTCTTATCCTTGAGCTTTGCGAAGCATCAACTACTGGTAGTGTAATTATAACTGTAGTCAAGATTCTTGCTATCAGTTTCTGTAAAGAAAACTTTCTATAAAGTCGCGTTTTTCTAAGTTCACCGCAGTACCTATCGCTTTCGAATATCGCGATGTGGGATCGGTGATGTCTAACAGTTTTATCAACAGCGAAGAATTTTGATTATTCTATCTGAAGAAATATTAGTAATGTCGAGTACTCGCTTCGAAATTACTATATCTCTTTATTCATTTCGATTTGTGATAGATTGTGGGTAGTGTATTAGAATAGGAAAAAAACACATCCACAGAAAAAGGTTTTGCAAAAAATTGCGGTGTTGTAACATCCCGTTTGATAAGAACCGTGGTATCGGACATCGCGGCTTGTCTACTGAGAACTGCGCTACGTCTAGTATGTATTGAAATATGATGGAATTTGTAAGGACGAAGAGGGTGTCGTTGCCCAGCTATTTTTGAGATGTTTTAAATAAATTTTCTTATGCTATCTCTCACTACAAAGTGACTTTGTAGTAATGGAGTTTGCAAAGTTCACTATACCTTCTCCTGTAAGAGTAGCTCACCTGGACTTTCGGAAAAGTTCAGGTGGGTCCAGTCATCCTGAGCCAGATCTATTGCCACAGGTATGCTTAGAGAAACCGCTGTGTACCGTAGTTTCCACTAGTTTTAAATAACCACGAAAATCAGATCCTTTATTCAGTGTTTGAAAACTACTATAAATCACAGCAAGAAAAAAACTGCGGCTATCAACGGTTTTCCGGAATCGCGGATAAGAGTAATTTTTATTGCTATCAATGTAGTAAAGAATAAATAGTTTGTTTTTATATTTCCTATGGCAATAATTCATCATATTATCTCATTGGTGCTAAACGCAGAACAATGTTGAATCATACTAATAATATTAGGTGTTTTTGTTTTCGTTTATAGTTTTCCTTTATTTCTAGGAAATAAGATTATTTTGAACGATTTAAATGGCATTTATTGCAACTACATCAATATTAACAACAATCGATAAAATTATTGAACGAGCAAATGAAGTAAAGGTATGTCAAGATCATATGAAACTAGTAACAACTAGTTTAACTCGTCTTCAACATCGGCTTAATGATAGTTTAACCGTATTAGACGAAACTCATTCACAAAAAGATCTTGCAGAAATACTAAAAGCCATCGATGAAATTATTACTAGTTGTGTGGAAAATGAAAACCTTCTTGATGGGATGACGTATAAGGATCTCGAATCTGTACTAGTTCGTCTTCAATATCAACTAGCTCAATATGAGTCTAGTCTAACAGATGATTGTGAAGTTAGAGTCCAAATATTATCTAACGCTTTACAAGACCAACGATTCTGTGTTACGAAGTCTTCTGAAGAGACATTGAGACAAAGATTAGATGTACTTGAGCAACAAACGAAGAAAAATATCATAGAAAAACTTCGTTACTTACGTGAAAAATATCCCAAAACGATCGAATCTTATCTTCGTACTTGTATTGAACTGCATCAATGGGAATTTATTCCTGGTCTCACGAGTGATATTGTTGCCAGAGTTGCCAATTTTTTCTATGAAATCTCTAATAGAGAACAAATGCTATTAGAAAATGAATGGCGATCAAGTAAATTTCCTATCAAACGCACATTCATCCGATTTAAAGCCGATAAATTGACACCATTCGAAAGAAATGAATTACGACGATTATTGCCAGCAGATGAAGACAATATGGTACAAGATGCGCATAGTAGAAGAGAAAAATTCAGAAAAATGTGGGAACGATTAATATCGACCCCCTACACGAAATCTGTGGTTGAAAAAGATCATTGTTCACAAGAAGATGATACAAATGAGGAACAGTTTATTCGGAATAAACGTTGGAGTATTATTTTGGGTGATCCAGGAAGTGGAAAAACAATTTTTGTTCGATGGCTTGTTTATCATTTTGCTCAAACACTTCTTCTCAATGAACAACATTCAACTAATTATGGTCCTCTTCGTATACCAATTTTAATTTGTATTAGCGAATTTGCCAAAGTATTGAAAGAAAAGCCATCACTTACTTTATTTGATTATATTGGAAAACACAAATGGATGGGAAAACCAATCATTGATGATTCATTGATCTCTCTTGATGATCTTTCATGTGCTCTTCAAGATTATATTCAACAAGGCCAAGCTCTAATTATATTTGATGGATTTGATGAAATTTCTACATCAGATCAACGTTCAAAAATCATTAATATTATTGAAAATTTTGTTGACACTTACGTTCAGATACCCATAGATTATTCTTCATTTGACAATATATATTTAAGCAAGTTATTAGATGATCCATCTCGTTCTGGAGGTAATCAATTGATTATTACGAGTCGTATTGTCAATTATGATACGATTGCATTAACTGGAAAATTTGCGCGTTACACAATTCAATCTATGGATAAGAAAACTATAATAGATTTTGTCGATTATTGGTTTTCTCGTGTACATCAACGTATCATTGATATACTAAATCTTCAATTAGTTAATAAAGCAGAAAAACATAGTGAAGCACTGAGAAAAGAATTGGACACAACGAAAGATGCTGCTTTTTTTGAAATGGCTTCGAATTTAGGTTTGCTATCATCGATTTGCACAATATGTTTCAGTCAATTAGAAGGTTCACCATTACCTGCTGGACGATTTTTTCAATATGAATCCATTGTCAAAGCAAGGTTAAATTTAACACTTAGTAAATTAGAGAATATTGATATATCACAAGTGATTCGAACTCTGACTGATATTACTAGTTGTATCCATCAAAATTCGACATCGAATTTGATTTCCAATAACCAAATAAAAGATATATGTGTTCAAACAATCAAAATATCCAAGAATAATGCATCAATAACAGCAGATGATATTCAACGTTTCGATAAACAAATATCCGAAATGACGCAAATCATTCGTGATAATATTGGTATTTTAGTTTTGCGAGATGAATCACATTATGGTTTTCTTCATCTAGCATTTCAACAATATTTCACTTGCTTGAAATTGCTCGAAGCAGATACGTCAAAAAAGCAGAAATTTGTCACTGACGGATTCAGTCGAGACAAGAAAATTCAACTCATCTCTCAACTATTGTGTAGTCACATGTCTGCTCAACGGTTTCGAGTACCGATTGCACTTGCTTTAGGGAAAATTAGTTCGTCTTGGTCCCAGGGTGATTTTGATGATCTTTGCTACGAATTTATACAAGCTCAACATGAATATGATTCTTTTTTGCCACTTGGCTCTTATATATTGATAAATTGTATCGATGACTTTGTTAATTATCCTTCGAATGACATTTTGTTCAATGTATTAAATCGTTTAATAATCGCAGCTGGTCAACATGAATGGTCCATTGTATGTCCATTTCTACTTGATCAAATTACAAATGCATTGAGAAAATTTCGAAAAGATACTGTTTCATTATGGATTATTGAGTTCTTGTCTGAACATTCTCGACATAATATTCAAACTATAACAGTTTTTTGTCAACTTCTCGAAGGAAAACCTCATGAATTTGAAAATATTCAATGGTTAGATCAAACATCTTGTTCAATACTTCAATCGTTATTAATACTTGATAATGAAAATAATGGATTTGCTATTGATCGATTATTAGTTAAAATTGCTTTCTCAAATCATCAATTATTATCTTCGAATTCAACTACATTCAAAAGTTTTCTAACTGATAAACAAATTGAAATAAATTCAATTCCTGTTCTTCTCTTTCCATTAATTATTGCTTTATATGGTGGCTTAACACGGGATGGTCAAAGTATTGTCTTCAATCCTTCGCATATTCATCGAGAATCATCTATATTAACACCAATTTTAATACGTTTTCTTTCTGCAAATGATCGTGATAAACAAGATCAAAATTTTAAAAAATTACAACAAGAATGTTTAAAATCTTTTGTTATGCGAATGGAAAATCATGATGAATCTTTAGAAGCAGTTGATTTATGTATTGCAACTATTTGTTTATATAACATCGAATATATCTATAACAATTTAGATATTATTTCCAATTCTTTTTTACGTATTTGTATGAATAGATTAAAATATATTTCAATGATTTTACGTCAATTCTATTTTACTACGGATGAAAATGATCTATCTATGGAAAAGGAAACTACAAAATTTATTTCAATTAGTATCAACAAATTTCAATTTGTTGACGCAGCAAGATTTTATTTTCTTGATATGTTAAATTCACTAAGAAGTAGTGTAGCTCGTTTACGATCTTCTTCAACATCAATTTTATTGGAAGGTTTATCCGAACCTGATAAACGAGTGACATTATGTCTGCCTAATTCTCTACGAAATGAGAATCAATTTCTTAATGGTCTATTAATAACAGATGTACAATTTTATTCTAATCAAAAATCTTGTTCATTAATTCATCATTTCACCAAACTTTTCTGGCCATTAGAACATAGTGATGAATTTGGTACACCATATAGAATGTCAATTGCTTTAAATACAATACCAGAATATTTACTATTTCGAAATGATGAAGATATTTTAACTTTATTAACATTTGTTCCTTCACATTTACAAAATCTTTATATTCGATTATTGAAAAAAAAATTTATTATAATTAATCCAAAAGATTCGATAGTTAATAGTAAACAACATCTTTATTTTGGTCACATTCTAACTGAATGTTTAATATTTTTATCAAATGCATCATGCAAGAGATTGTCTATTTTAGGCGCTTTAATCAACCTGTTACCGTGGCTTCGAATGCAACAATTAGAAAACTTTGGCAGTAGTCTTTTATGGACATTAGCTATAGATGATTCCATTCTTTTGGATATTTATGAAAAAAAAAGAAAACGTCCAACCAATTATGAAACTGGTCAATATATGGATAAAGATACAGACTTTTTTAAAGGATGTCATCTAAAAGATGAAAAACGAAAAACAATAATCCAAACTAATATCGAACAAGAATATCAAAGACTTCAAAATGCTTCCATTAATAATGATCTCAAAAATATAAAACTCTATTCTGCATCAATCTCTTTGGCACATATTTGTCATTGGACGGATGATGAAAAAAAATTCTTTTTATTAGAACAATGTATAAATGGAGCTATGTCAATTCAGAATCAACTTGCTCGTCTTGATGCATTATGTCTGATTGCTTTATACTCATATTCCGATTATGATCGAATTAAGATAGATAGAGATAGATCTCTAAAGATGGAAATCGAACGTCAATTCAATGAAATCTATCCAAATTTACCTCTTCTATTACAAACAGCTATATTTATTCGATGTTTACCTTTACTTCTACATTCGAAAGTAATCGACGATTGTCTTCAAAATCTTATTAGTAAATTTAATGATATAGATCAACGAGATCGACAAGCAGTCATTGAAGCCTTATTACCATACATGGAATTGAATTGTACTTTTTCATCTATTACAAATCGTTTCTCATATTGTTTACAAGATCAAAATAGAAATATACATAATAAATCTTCTGCTTTGAAGAGATATTTTGATATTAGCACACATGAAAATCTATTATTTTCATTATCTATTTCAAATTTATATCTTATGGAATTAGCCAATGATTTTCATGCTATTTTTCAAGTGGATAATCGTCAATTTAGTATCAATGAATCGATTGAAACAAAACTATTTCAAGCCGGAAACAATATTTTGAAAGAAGAACAAGTGTTAACAATAACTAATATTCTTTCCTTCGTTTTGTTAACAAATCAATATAATCAGTACGAGAAACTTTGGATTATCTTGAATAATGCTCTTCACCGTATGACTTGGGTAGAATTCAAAGCATGTCGTTTGTTAGAATCTTGGTTGAAATGGAGAGATTCAAATGAATTTTCTTGTTTTGCTTATCATGCTGCACTTCTTCTAATTAATTCCGACATATGGTCTGTTGAAGCTACAGAAATTCTATGTGATATCTTATCTAGTGATAATGATCGTTTTCGTCACAGAGCTGAAATTATATGTCGATCATCGTATGAACATGATGTTCGAACAAGTTCGAAATTAGGCATAGATGTTATATTGACTCTAATCAAGAAAAAAATTTATTATCAATTAAATTCAGCATCTGCTGGACTGACATTAAATCGATTGATCCGAAATATAACTCTAGATATTCAATCTCATCTAGAAATATTGCTTTGGCTAGAAAGATATAGAATTCATGCATTGATCAATAAAGAATATTCCTTCAACAATTTAAGTTCATCGAAGAATTCTTATATAACTTCATTTTTTTCAACTGATATAGAATTAGATACATGTTCCTATATTAATTCATTTCGACTCTCCAATGATTTGGTAATATATTTGTGTGATATGATTGAATCGAATTTTATTTTATTCCTCTCGATCAATGAAGATACAACATCAGATGAAGTTTCGGAAAGTCATAATCGATTTATTATTTCAATACTTTTAACTTTATACAAATTATTGAATAACACTAATCAAACACGGCAAGCAGGAATTACTGCTCTTATGAAATTATTCGAGAAATCCAATAACAATCAAATTTGTCAAGCTATAGCGTGTCTTCTTGGTTATGTATGTAATGAAAAAACATATAAATATTTGTTTAATAAAATTGTATGGATAGTGAACAAAACATGTTATGGCACTTCTAATTATTCTAATGATGTTTTGTGTGCACTTATCTCAAGTTATTTCTATTGTGTATCTATAAGCAAAATCAAATTTGATCAAGATGATTTGAATTTATTTTCTACTTTGTTAAAACATGACTCACAGGATATTGTAAAAGCTGTTCGTATAGGATTGGCTCGTGTTCTTGAAGATTCCTTATCTCTTATTAGATATCTCGATTGTGATTATATTCAATGTTATCATGCATTGATCGGATCAACAGCATCCTGTTATGTTGATGAAATTCAGCAAAATAGTGAAAATAATGTCGCAAAATTTATTGAAGAACATCCAACTCTTTTACCAATCTTTATGATCGAATTATACGATAGTATTCGTCATTTTTCCATTAAAATACTACAGATCGGATTCAATAACTACGATTTAGCTTATGGATATCCTACGTATGTAAAGATTGCTTGTCTAATCGCTGTACGTATGCCGAAAGTATTTTGTACTTTCATCAACGATTGGCCCGAAAGAGACAATTTTAAACGAGCATTGTTTTATACGAGTAAACAAAATCATTTTCCACAACGCGCTGCTTGCTTAACAATTCTATCACTGTTGGGTGAATTGACAATCGACTTATGTCAAATGTTCATTGAAGCTGTACATGATGATCCATATATTCAAAATAATTGTTATAAATCTATAAGATTTATTCATTCTGTTAAAGATGAGAAAGTCGTTTTAAATCTTTTATTATCATATTTGAAATCAAAATCCATGAATGTTCGATATGTTACAGCTAACATACTTCTTCATCTTTCTCAATCATCTCTTATTCCATTTCAACAAGTTCAGACTATGTTGAATGATCTTATGTTAGATTTGAGTTCAAATGAAGATTTATGGTTAATTAAAGAAAAAGATGGTTTCTCTTTAGAATGTCAATATTACTATGCTGGTCCATTGAAACATGTTATTTATACACTTCTAGTTCAACATATCACTGAACATAAAAGTGACAATATTCGAAGAAATCAAATCAATGATATTGATTTGGATTTCATTGAATCTGAAAAAGCATCCCGTTTCGCTTCCTGTATCTATGAGAAAAAATCTGAAGACATTCCAGAATAAACAAACAAATAAATCCTTTTCTTTCTTAAAATGATTCTTTTACACACAATTTATTTTTCTTTAAACATATATTCATTTGCTTAACGTTGGTTATTCTCTCCGTATATTGAAAGTATAGATTACATTTTCAGTTAATTAATAAAAGTATCTTGAAACAAATCCAAATAAAGTATGGTAGACTTGGATAAGATAGATCTACACTCGGTGGGCTGTATGATGTAGAAACATAAACTTAATCACGCTTTAGAATATCTCGAGTTTTACCTGTATACGGCATGAAATAAGAGTGCAATTATCCGCATATCCAACATTGTTCGAACTGTTAAAATACTAATTAAACCGAAATTCGAATGAAGAGCATTAGTCTCAAATATTGAATCAGAATTCGAATTCAGTGCATGCCTAAATGAACCGTCATATTTCATTTATTGTCATCATGTTCATTATCAAAAAATGACGAATGATTTCACTCGTATGTAAATGTTCTTGTCGTCAATAATATCAAAATAAATAGCATTGTTCTTGAAAAAGTTTTACACTTTCGTTTGTCTCAAGCCGAAATTCTAATGAAAAAATGATGACATTTTAATTATAAAAGTTCATAGAGCTAATTTAAAATGATGTGATAAATTCAAAAAAAGATCTTTCGAGATTTGATGATACATGTTAACTTAATAACTACCTAGCTGAATTGGATTCAGTTGTTCAAAAAACACATACTATTTGCTGCATTTCAATTCAAACACAAACGGTATCCCTTTATTTTTCATTTTCAATATGGTAGAAAGATAGAGTTCAACATTCTACACATTTCCGTCGATTTTGTGTTTTTTTTATTGAATACAAAACAAAAACATTTTGAAGCCTATATGTTTCTGAGGGTCTCAGTCTCTCACAGGTTTTCAATCTTAGGATGATAACTTTAATATCTATAGGGTGTCCAGAAAATGACTAGAGTTAGAAAAAATTGCATATCTCTCTGCTACGGCTCGAGCAAACAGGCTGATTTTTCTACCAATAATAGAAGCATGTTCACACTTTAAATCCATACAGACAAGATTAGAAAGAGCCTTTGTTAAGTACCATCAACGACCTCAACAAAAAAATTTTACTTTTTCACAGATAAGAAAAAAAACAATAGACTTAACAAAGGATCTCTCTAGGCATGTCTTTATGAGTATAAAGCTTGGACATGCCTCTATCATTGATAAAAGAATCAGCTCTTTTGCTCGAGCCATAGTGAAGATATTCAATTTTTTTGCGGCAAAGTGACTTTTGCGCTACTCCGTATAGTGTTCTTTTCCTATCTGTGAAAAAGTAAAATTTTTTTTGTTGAGGTCGTTGGTGGTACTTAACAAAGGCTCTTTCTAATCTTGTCTGTATGGATTTAAAGTGTGAACATGCTTCTATTATTGGTAGAAAAATCAGCCTGTTTGCTCGAGCCGTAGCAGAGAGATATGCAATTTTTTCTAACTCTAGTCATTTTCTGGACACCCTATATGAATTTTTTCTTCTTGTAACTTCAATGTCAAAAATAATAGCATAGATTCATGCAATTTTTCGTGCTCATACTGTTAAGATGTACAATTGAAGATTTCTCATATTTTTGTGAGATATTATAGAACTCAAAAATGGAATGGATGCTAGAGATCGTTATGATAAAAAACTGTCTCGTCTCACGCTCTTCAAGTCTATTTAGTTTTCAGGAAAATCTATTCTGTTCTAAGGTTCATTTCAATAGAAACACTGTACGAAGGTGATCATTTCGGGAGTACTTTTCCATATTTTTCATATTGAAGCGCAACTAGGGTGTGGGTGAATGGGTGTTTTCTCAATTTTAACCCACACCCACACTCGGCCGTGCACATTTGAGTATTGAGCAAAGTCTACTGTAAAAAAAAAGAACGAATACAAGAAGATCTGTATTATCGATTTGTCACGCACAAATTTATTTTAAGCATTGAAATTTGTTTGTTCGACTACATATATTAGTTACTTGCGAAAGGATCAAGGAGTTACTGCACGGAGTATTGAATAACTTTTTCTTCACTAGCACTCCTGTCAATCTTCACACCAGGTGAATATTGTGGTTCATCGAGAAGCTCGGATGGAAATTCTTTTTTGATGATTTCCATCGTGTGAGGATAAAATTTTTCATAGAATGCAAGAAATATTTTGTCTTTCTCTTTTGTAGACCGACTCATGTAACTGGGATGCTTCATGAGCACGAGTTCATTAAAGCCATCACCGTATACATCCAGAGTCTTTTCAATTTCTATTGCGGTTGGTCGCTGTTGCGGATTGTAGGCTATGCATCGAGAGATCAGATCGTCAAAGATTGGACTTTTGTTATGAAATGAAATTTTGCCGCTAGGTAAAGTTTGAAATGAGTGTTTTGTCGAAGTGAAAAGTTCATTCAATGTTAAGCCAAATGTGAAGATATCGAGTGTTTCATCATAACTACCATGATAATATTCAGGTGGCATATATGATTGACAGCTAATTTGTGTCTGTTGATTAAGTGGATTGAAGAATCGCACAATACCCATATCACCAATTTTGGCTACATCATTTTCATTCACGAGAATATTATCTGGTTGAATATCTCGATGAACCAGTCGGTGTTCATGAATCTTTCGCATTCCACTAGCAATATTTCTTGCCATATCAAGTCTACGACGAAGAGACAGTTGACTTCCATTTTCTTTAATAACCTTAGAAAGACTTCCACGAGACATGTATTCCATAATCACCATATATTTTATGTTTTCACCTTGTATTAATGTTGCATATCCGTATGTTTTCAAGATATATGTGCCTGAAAGTTCGGCATAGGCAGCTAGATCTTTAAGAAAACTTTTTTCAAGCACGTCTGTGTCATCTGTCTTAAGTAAAGTAATCGCTTTACATGTAACACGATGCTTCTTTGAAAGCCATCGAGCCTTGAATACAGAACCTAAAATACGAGATTTTTCACAATACACTAAGGTAAATTCTATAGAAATACCTACCGAATGCTCCACTTCCGAGCTGGTTATCGATTTGAATATCTTCCGCTGGAATCTGCTGGACCACACGACGCGATAGGACGATAAGCGAATGTGTCAATTTGTGTGCTTTTGTAGTAACATTTCTATCCACACATTGTTGACATAAGTCATAATTTGAACAAGTATCACATTTAAATCTTAAGCCTTTGATGGGTTCACGGTTGCATCCATCACAAGTAATAGATTCATGATTCTCATCAACATATAATGTTTTGAGATTAGAAAATGTCACTTCGTTGTCTTTGAATATCCGGCCAAATAATTCGCCGGGCGATTTAAAATGAGCAAATGCATGACCACTCTTATGATGCCTAAATTCTTTTCGACGTGCAAAGCAACGACCACACATATCTAAGCCTTCACAATTTAAGCATTTGTAACGATCTCTCTTGATAGGATAGGTCCCACATGCTCCACATCGCACCTTATGTATTTCTCCATCCTCATTATCATTACTCTGAACACTACTTGCAAGTAATAGCTGTACCATTCTCATGAGTATGTTGTTTTGACTTGTATCTTCATCATCGTCATCATTATCATTATCTAAATCGCAAAGAGTATATGAAAAATGTCTCTATTCGCATTTTTTTGTAAATATCGATTGCATCACTTTAACTTGCCTTCAATAAACTTTATCTTTTTTGTTTCACATGCGGTTTTCAGAACGGTAGATTATGTCAAATATATGCGAACAACTGAATAATAATGGCAAGAGATATACTGAACATAAATAGTACCACCTTTGAATTTTAATGACAATAATTTACATGTTACTAATTTTTGTTACTTTCTTGAAAATCAAATAGAAAGGAAAAGTATTGTGTTGCAAGTGGGTTTTGATTAAGGAAGATGGTTGACATGTTGTAATTAAGTCATTTTTTCTTCCTAATTAACTTTTAGTTTAGATTTACTTAACATTTCGGATTTGACTATTGTCTTACTTTAGAAGAAACTGTACAAATAGAATATAGAAATCTCTTGACATATGCATATATACTCAAGTCGATCATGATTAGTCATACACAGCTGTATATGAATCAATTACGGCGAACAACGGCAGTCCTTTTCCGGTAACCATTTACAGTGATCATAAAGGATTTTCTACAGGGTATTACAGTCATCGTAAACAATGATCGTAAAATGTTGTCGTTAGAGATTAACGTCAAAATACGGTGACTGTTTGCACTGTTCAAAAAACATTGTAAGACATCATTATACATCAGCTCTTTACGGCATCTATTTAAGGCAATCTTTAATAATAGTTTACAGTATCTTACGATGATCATAAACAGCGACCAGAAAAAGTCGCCGTTACCGATCTACATAACACTACAGCAGCTGTATACGTTCATCTGATAAAATAATTATCATACGACACCGAATTAGTAAGCTGTTTTCAGTAGCCGTATACAACAATTGTAAATGATGCTTTACAATGTATCTCGATGATTGTATGCAGTGATCGTAATAGCTCGCCATTGACGGCTAGCATAAAAGTACGACAATTGGATACGGTTGTCGGAAAATATCGTAAATTATCATATACGTCAACTTAAAACAGTTTAATAAAGGATTACTGTTTTCTATTATAATTTATTGCAGACAACCATTAAGGATAGAAAACCAGTGTTATTGAACAGCAACAACATTTGCTCGTGCTTAAAAGAAATAGCTCCCCAGGTCAAGCATTACGACCATCAGATACGGCCGTATGCGATGACCTATCATATACTGATACGGACCAATCAGAATTCAGGAGGGCTTTTCTCGTTTATTATAAGGGCAATGCCTAGTCATGTTCAGGTCGATCCTAGGGTTATCGAGGACGCTCTATCAAATGAGAGGCATATGTATGGGACACCTCCTTATATATAGGTAAGAAATGGAATCTCGCAATCAGATTGGCCAATTAAAATGGACCAATCTGATTCGAGGGTCACTTCTTTCTTATTATGAAGGCAGCTATTATTCATGAATGGGTCGTTTTTAGGGCACCCAGGGTTCTTTTCGAAATTACCCGAATATGAATATGCTCGGGCTTTCGTATTGTTGAGAAATCGAGTCTAGTTATATGATTCGTGAATTTAGATAGATCGAGAATTCCTTAGAGCAGCTTTAATTTGTCGACAGCCATAAAGGATTACTGTTTGCGCTGCACATTTGTGATCGGTGTAATATCAAAAGACTGAAAAAATCTTATTGTAATCAGGCTTTTAATACATGTTACTCCTGCCTGTGTTATGACTCGAATGAAGTCTAACACGTGGTGCATATATAGGGTGGATAATGTCTCAAAAAGACTGAAAAAATTTGGTTTTTTTCATCGAATTATTGATACTGAAAAATGGATTTTTAATCCAAAAATAGTCAATTCTACTGTGGCTTTTAGTCATTTTTACATGGGTAAACTACAGGAGTATGTAGCTCTATGGCTGTTATGTTGTGGTATCATTTCTCAAGTTTGTGCGTTTTATCGAGCCCCACGATGCATCAACCGAAATCACAAAGATAAGGCCGTTCTAAAAATGTTGAATGTTATATAAATATTGCTCAGTGCAGAAGGTAGAACTTGTGATTCTTTCTCAACTTTGTGGAAATGCAACTCTTATTACCTAGCGACTTATTTAGCTGATCTTGAGAGGATGTTATTTATATTGAATAAGAGGAATTCGCCAACATTAGCGATCTTTTGCGACAAAAAACGATAAAAAATAATGATCCTCTATCAGACCAGTTACAGTAGACATAAACGGTACCTTGCTACACTTTCCAATGAACGTATACAGTCCCCTTATTGTTACAGAAGTTGTTCACGGCGGTTTTTTACGGTCATTGTTTACGATCGCTGTGTGCGGCTATCGTATACAGCTAACGTACACGATATCTTACGACATTTTATCACACTAACGTATTCAGTCACCGTGTTGCTACGGTAGCCGTTGATGGCAACATTCTACGGTCATCGTTTACAATGACCGTAGTATCCCGTAAAGCGTTATTTACGACTATTGTAAGTCGCTACTGCGAACACCTGACGTATACGATGTCTAACAGTGTTTTCCGAGCAAAGTACACAGTCGTCGTATTGTTACGCTAGTGGTTTACGTTGACCTTTTACGGACATTGTTTACGGTGGTCATAATATGTCATAAAGTATCGTTTACGGCATCGTAAACAGCCATTTTGCGGTCATTTTTGGCCATTATAAAGCTCAACCTGGCTAGTTGGGTTTGTTTGTTTCTTGCCTTTTATTTAATAGTGATATGGACTATATGGTGATAGTCTAGTACGATAAAAGTAATGTTCTTCATCGTTCATACCACTATAAAGTAAAAAAAAAAGAAAGATGCAAACCCAATTATGTTTGTATGTGTAAAGAAATTTCTATATGTTAAGTGTACATCTCAAAAGGATGACATCACTAGTAGAAATGTTCAGTAAAAATAAACTAAAAGTTAATTAAGAAAAGAAAATGAATTCATTCAATTATGCATTGCAATAACAAAAGAGAAGTAATGAAGGAAATCAGATTTTAAACCTTTCTCTTAGCAAAGTTCTTTAAAATGAGAAAGCAGAGCATCGACTGATTCTAGGTTATAAATAAACAACGTGATCAAAGTAAAATATCAGCTAGAAAGATATAACCTGGTCCAAATTATCTTTGAACAAAAGCAAAGAATAAACTATTGTAGTGCTAAATAGTACTACATGACTATGCGCATATAAATGAAATCTTACTAGACTCTTCGTTCATATTAGTGGGAATATGAGATGCAGATGAAGAAGCAGCAGCAAATTGTTCTGTATTAGTTTCTGGTGTTCTATCAACTCCTAAACAAAAATCGATATGGCACAACACTATAATTGCAAAAGATCCTTACCCACTGCTGGTGCATCATTCGATGATTTTGATGTAATATTGTAGTGAAGTCTCTCACAATCTCGTTTTGTTCCTATATACAGGCTTAGATACAGATCTAGAGTTTTAAAAAATTATAAATACCTTTCAAGATAACAGTTCCTTCGCATTCATTTCCATTGACCTCGATTCGATAAGTTTCATACGTTTCAATCTTATTTGATGGAGCTGTAATACACCGTTGAGGTACAATAATAAAATCATTTTTATCCGAACAACGAATCAAGCAAAATTCGTCTTCGGCAGCATTCGTGTTTTCTAAATCATAATAAATAATCGGCTCTTCGTTACAATCAAATTTCGGCATCATCTTACGAGTCTGTTCAGCCGACGATTCTTCTAGGAGTCGGTGAGACATATTGAATTATTTCATAAAATTTAATCTAAAATCAGTATTAAAATGCACAGGAGAAATATCTGTCGACTTAATTTCTGCAGACTTGAAATATGGAAAACTATTGATCTGTTTCATTCGCTAAGTGACATCTCGTACCTATAGGCCGTATGAAAAGTGTGCGTATATAAAAGTCGAACACTAATCGATGGTCCCTAAAAGCTTTTATGCAAATATCGACATTCACCTCTATACTTCCATAGATAACCATCGAAATAATTCAATCTTAAAACAGAACTGCAGCGAGTTGTACACTTCATGATACAATTCGTCGTTTGGGTATTTGGAAATCTCTGTAATTCCAGTCAACACTTCTTCACATCGAGAGGTCACTTGCAGCATGATTGTGGTGAGGGTGTGTATGAATGAAGATGAAGATGGTTATATAAATCGTTTCGGAAAGAACATCGACACCGAGTCCTCTACTGATTCCATATTCATTACGATCATAAACTTACATCCAACCATATGATATCATTTTTCATTATTTTATGAAAATACACAGCTAATGAGCAGAGGATTTTAAAACCTTGAGATTTTCAGGAGAGAGATAGACCTGAATGAGTGGTCATTCTAGTAGTAAGCTCTTGTCATTCAGAGGGTGTTCGTCGAAATCTCAATTGTACTGAAAACCATAATTTTGGGAAAGATTAATCTAGTGAAAAATGTAGTCTAAATGATTTCGAGTTGTATCATTTTATCTCTTTGAATATCATTACCAGTGGCGTAGTCAGGGGTATGGCCATTAGGTAATTGCTCACTAGTTCAAAATCAACTGCCTATGGATTTTTTGAAATGATATCAATTTCCCAATGCCGAAAAACCTTTATATACATACACATACAAAGACTCAAGCGATGTCATCTTAATACATTGTATCTTGTTGTCGTCTAATCAAATGTTCGACAAAAATCAACTAACTATTTTTTTCAATAAACTAATGCTCACAATGATGACAATTAAACGGCATTCTTTTTGTCAAAATGCTCGTTATGTCACTTAAATACACTACAGATTCTATTTTTGCTAATCTATGCTTTTTGACCTAATATATTTAAATATTTGAAAGTTGAAGAGTATATTTGTGAAATAGTCCAAAAAGAACTGCTAGCACAATCTCTGCAAGATTAAAATGTGAAAATTATGTAGCTGTTGTTACTAATCACGAGAGTATTGTTTTATGCAATCTATCTTGAGATTCAATTCTTCATCATCTTATACTTATCCGCTAGTGATCTATGATCGCTAATCGTGTGTTAAAAACGTCGGTCGCGGTCTGTAGGAGGAGCACCGTAAACAGCCAGGCGATAAAATCGATTTTCGAGATTTTACCCTATGTCATAGCTAGCATTGAAGTTGCTATGGTACTGCATTTAAGTGCATTCTGAACGCTGCTCTATAGTGAGTATCATTAATAGGACCATACAAAGAAATTTTGTTTGAAATTAAGAATCTAATTATAATCATTAGTTATTATATAGTTATACATTGTTATGTATTCATTATATATTACAGTCCATATGAACTTCTTGAAGTTCTTTAGGCTATAATAAAATCAAAAACTTATACTCAGTATAGAAACAAAAATAACCGTTGATTCATAATGCAGTTATTTTTCCGAAATTTCCCGGAATTTTAATTTGTTAATTGGTTGAACATGTCATCATCTACCTTCAGTGGATGTGCAAAGATACGCGCTTAAATCCTTGTCGAAATATAGTGTCTCAAATGTAACCCTCTATCAAATTTGTTGGCAATTTTTATATAGTGATCACTCATGTTCTAGTCTATCAAGTTTCGAATAGAAAAGTAAATAGAACACGTACACCAACTCCAGATTTTAGATTGGCCATTTGATTTGAAAATTGGTTCTTTGACTCTTTCTTAGAAATGAAATAATTATATGGAAAAAAATATGCATAGGCTCCCTTGCAAGACATAAACCCCAAACAAAAATTATTCTTCTCTTTATCTTTTTATGATGTCAAACTTTGTATTAAATTTATTACTGTATAGAGATTTGACATGAAAGTTTTATTTCACTTCAGTGTACAGATCATACTAATAAAACTTTCATGTCGTATCTTTACTCATGTGGGTAATAAATTTGATGCAAATTATAACAGCATAAAAAGCTAAAGGGAACCAGACTTTTGTCCGAGAGTGTAAAATGATTTGCTTCATATTTTTATAATTTTTCCGTTCGTAAAAGTACACGGAATTGCACGATCTTTCTAACTTTCGTCTAAGACAGATAATATTAGTGGAAATGAATAATTTTCGCAGTAAGAGCTAACAAAGATTGCAATACATAGTATGAATATCGAGAAATTTAGGCTTTAAACAGAATTTCAGCAAATATGAAATATTCAGAAACTCATTTTAATATATTTCAGGACAAATTACAGAATGATTTTAAACTTCGCATGACATTTATAAAAATTTTCGACACAATACCAGAGAAATATTGCTGAAACACGTGAAATACTATGAGCTGACCAACCGTACTTTTGTCATTTTGTTTTTTTTTTTTGGTGACAAATTTTATAGCATCAGTGAGCTCATTTACGTGTTGACTCGGATTTGAACACTTTTTTCTATCATCATCTGTACATTTTCAAAATATTATCTGATGCATAAATAAAAAGTAAAAAGGAGAACTGTATCTTCCATATAAGCATTTATCTAAAACTTAATTGAGCTTGAGTGTTATTTATGACTAATGCCGGCCCCTCAGATTATTAACGGTCGGTATTAACGAAAAAAATGCAATTGTGAAATCAATCCTCATTAGAGATTATATGGCTTTCTAAAAATTTTAGATTACCAAGTATATTTTAGGCATGTGCCCTTTTATATGCAAAACTTTTTTTCTTCTGAGTTGTATGCATCGCCCGCTTACTACGTAGTTTATTTATAAATTGCTATCAAGAGGATTTTTTCAAGTAATAAACTACTAAAGCACATATTTTTCCTAAAGATGTTTGATATATACGTATATGTGTGTTCCACTTTAACCAAACAGTGAACTTTTCCTTAAAGGTGTTAAGATTCTATATTTAGGTAGTTCGCATATTAAGTTGAATATCGAAACAAAACTATAAAATGATGCCTAATTTGCACCCTTATTATTATTTTTTTCTGCAAGGATTCAAAAGTTGGAAACAAATTATTGATGATAACCTGCTTCAGGCTCTTGAAGAGTAATCAGTCCATGACAGATTTATATAATACATAGTTGATAATTGTATCCAGTGTATGAAAAAAAAATGTTCTCTCATTTTTGCTAAACAACATTATAACGGAACAATGACTTTTTATTGTGCTAATTTGCAGTTATTAACAGTCGAAAACTTCATTGTTCTAGAGTCTTTCGAGTAAGAAAGGTTGAGTAAGCGCTGGTAATCGCTCTGAAGTGCCAGCTATGTGTACACAAAATATTAAGTTATTAGCTGCAATAATTAGAAGAATTGCTCCTGGCCATGTTTTTTTTCTGTTCACTGTGAGGGGAGTCCAAATCTCTACCATTATAGGCTTCAACACTCCTTTTAGGTCGTGTTTCACAAAAGCGAAGAAGCTCACATCTCAGTTGAGAGTAACGAACTTCTTTTCAATAACATCGATTTTTGTGATGGTAATAAGTTTAAAAAATTGTAACCCAATTGATTTTCAATTGCCCATTACTGCCCACTCCTCAAAATAATTTAGCCGGGAAGCGGACCATGACTTAAAGATTTCTGGCTGCGCCACTGTCCTGTGGTAATGAATGTAGAAAAATCTAGATATCTCGAAAACAAAAGAATCTTTTTGCGAATAGGCAGGATAGAAATTCATCAAACACTTGCCGCTAGAAAATATATAAAAGTAGCCAAATCGGTCAACATTCATTAAGCAACTTCTATTGAATTGGATTGCGGCCTTCTTTGAATGGTTGTTAATAAGTTTTTTTTCGATTTGCTTCACATTTTGTTTTCTTTTTTTGAAGTTCTTCGTTTTTGCAGAATATCACGTTGATAGGTGTTGCTTACTCCCTTAACAGCGTCATTTCGAAGGCAGGCAGAAGTGTGGAAAGAGAATGATGTTGTTGTTATTCTGCCTCGGCACACCACTGTTTATAGTATGATCAAGGAAGAAAAAAATCTATAACGACGTAAAAGAAAAATTCAAGGAACATTAAACTTTTCAGTGGTACATTATTCGAAGAATCAGTTTGAGTAGAAATTGATCCAGTATGAATTCGTTGCTCAAGTAGAGCTCAATCGATGTGGACTGCTCAAATAATCAAAGCATCTATTGTGAACGTATTTCTTTAAGATGATCAAAATTATATTTTATTTCATGATACACTTTCTATTTGATAAACGAAAAATGTGTACCAATGTCAGCCAGTTTTGAGCTATACTTTTTTTATTATATTACTAGAAATCCTTTCATATATTTCTCAAACAAAGATTATTCTTATGAAAGAATGGATGTCTACGGGTAGAAAACTCTACGGCTGCGTTCGGTCGTGTACATATTTATGTGTAGATGAATCGCAGAATCTCTCGATTGTTGACATCCACGCATTCAAACTCACACCTATGTACAACCAATCCTCGCAGCAATTTCGCTACGCATATGGCCATTAACTCAGTCAGCAGCTGTAGAAGTTTGCGCTGCAGCGCTTTTTGTTCTCTTGTTACTGAAAGACAAACAAATTCGAAAAGAAAGTTGGAATAAATCACAGTCAGTAATTTTTTACTTCAGTCGTGCAACTATTTCCAACATAAAAGATGTCTTTTACATTCATTGCGAGTTTTCCAACTTGGTTGTCATGCCTAAGTAAAATATGACATTTGTGAGCATATGAAACTATTGAAAACTCGTTGATCACTTCGAGATTCCTTTGTTTTTATCACTAAAGTCTACCGCAAAACACAGCTAGATCGAATGTTATACTATTGTATCATTAGAGATGAGAAATGGAAAATAATGTCAATAAATATAGTAACTGAAGTGTTTGTATGTTGATATAAATCATTGAAGTACTAGAACATTCACCCATGTCTACAGACACAATCCACTGGAACAAGGAAACAGTACTTAAGGAGCATAGCAGAGATATCCATCGCGGCGGTGTGAGTGTGTGGTTGTTGATATTGTCTTCGCTGACATTCACATGCACCCACCTACACCCGTCTAGTCTCACTAAGGTCTCCATGACGCACAAAGTCCCGACTGAAAAACGATTTTACACTTGCATATGTTATCTAGTCAGATTCTTTGACAAAAAATATGGCCTTCCGATTTTCTTCCAAGGAAGCCATACAACCAAGGACCCAGTGAATCGTCTAGATTGGCAGTACTTGTTAGTAATATGATAACGAGGTTAAAGATCTACGAATATGAAAAGGAAAGGCCTAGCCAAATGAGTCTTTGGTGATACTTGAAAAAGCAATGGCAAAATGAGTCTATGATGGGTTGGTCGCATGTGTGAAAGACAGCGGTCGTCCTTTAGTTCTGCGTAAAAGACCTAATGTGCAAAATTTGCCTGATATTTCATAAAAAGTAAAACTTCGTCATGCGGATCACCTAGTTTTAATGCGAATATTTATTATGAGTGTTTTTCTAGAGATTAGGAGAACACACATCTTTGAGACAGCTTATTCTGGAAGCACTGTACGTTATTTTTTATTACGCCGTGTGATAAAATATTGAAAGGCACAAATCTGACGTACAATGATTATTGCGAATAAAGAATATAAAATCAAGAACAAATATTTTCTAGTTTGAATACTACCGTGCATCTAAAAAATTCTTTACTTAAGGACTTATTCGTTGTGATGAAGATTTCAAAAACTTTCTTATTTCTGTTATGGTTGGTAAATATTTTTATCGGCTTCACAATCTTAAGAAGCTTTATTATTATGAATTAGGAAGTATTTTTATCAGTATTGTGATCTTAAAGGATTTGATTTTGCTTGTGCAGCTTATAGGCTATAAATAAAGGCTGTATCGTAGTTAACCATCTTGCAAAAATCAATTCGATAATTTTGAAAAAAATTTTCTAATGTGAAATGGATTTTCTTCTTTTAATCTATGGTCTACTTTGCTTGAGCCTCTCAAGCGCCTTAGGCGAAGAAATCAATGGTCAAAAACTGGTTTGTATACAAAATGATGGAACAATTGAAGCTCTCAAAGGCCATTGTCAACGTTATTCAGACGGAGCATGCCACTGTTCACAGGATTGCGATCCCACATTTTCGCTTCGTGATTGTGCTTGTACAAGTAAAGATTTGGGATTTGCAAGAGATCAAGGATTGGCTAAATGTGCAGTGTGGACGCAAGAACGTTGGTCACAGTATGTTAAAACCGTGAGAGCAAAATTGGCAAATGGTGCAATACTGGTCCCTGCCAGCAATACTGCAGGTAAGAAACAATGTGTGAACAGAAGTAACGCTCAGTCGGATGTTTCAAAAATGCACACTGTTATTTTTATTTAGACGGTAAAGGGATACAGTTTCCTACCATTGATGAAGGAATACCATGGCCAATGACGGATGCTCGGTCGGACAGAGCTTTAACGCTACATGGTCCACACTGTTTACATATGATTCAAATGTTCAATGAACAGATTTTAAATGGTCACCCATTGAATAGTGTCATTGATGTTCTCCATTCTGAACATTGCCGACGTCTAGCTCGACATGTTTTGGCTATTTTTGTAACACAAAAAAACTACCGGTAACGGCACTTCTACATCCCAATATTCAGAGATTTATACTAATTGATTCTGTAATTTTACACTTTTAGGGTTGAACCAGCGTCATTTTGTTCAGCGATCGGAAGATTTGTATCAGAAGAAACTGGCGAATCACACCATGGACTTGATAGACTATTAGTGATCCACTCTAGTAAAAGTGTCCCATCAAGCATAGGAGATACCACGTTTCCCGAAGGCGTTGCATCACTAAAAGTGTTGCACTCTGGTGAAAGCTTAGGAGATGCCACGTTTCCCGAAGGAGTTGCATCACTAAAAGTATCGCACTCTGGTAAAAGTTTACGAGACGCCACGTTTCCCGAAGGTGTTGCATCACTAAAAGTGTCCCATTCTGGTGAAAGCTTAGGAGACTCCACATTTCTCGAAGGAGTTGCATCACTAAAAGTATCACGCTCTGGTGAAAGCTTAGGAGATGCCACGTTTCCCGAAGGTGTTGCATCACTAAAAGTGTTGCACTCTGGTAAAAGTTTACGAGACGCTACATTTCCCGAAGGCGTTGCATCACTAAAAGTGTCCCATTCTGGTGGAAGCTTAGGAGACTCCACATTTCCCGAAGGCGTTGCATCACTAAAAGTATCACGCTCTGGTGAAAGCTTAGGAGATGCCACGTTTCCCGAAGGTGTTGCATCACTAAAAGTGTCACACTCTGGTAAAAGCTTAGGAGATGCCACGTTTCCCGAAGGCGTTGCATCACTAAAAGTATCCCACTCTGGTAAAGGCTTAGGAGATGCCACGTTTCCCGAAGGTATTGCAAAAGCAAAAGTGTTGCGCTCTGGTAAAAGTGTCCAATCAGGCTTAGTGGAATCCCTTCCCATTCTCCACCAAACACTCCCTAAACAAAATCTTAGTATGGCCAACATCACTGATTCTCAGCTGGTTTACATACAATTGTACGAAGAGGCGAAAAGGATGTTGAATTCATCGCATGTTCCTAATTACTTTATAAAACGTATGATTCGCTGGTATTCTTTTATTTCATAATTTGATTTCAAAGTTAATATGATTGATGTAGTTACCCCACAGGTTAGCTATGAGAGACAGCAATTGATTAAAAATTTTGATATCATGTCATTTGTGTATAGATTTTGATGGTCAAAACCGAGGCATTATTGAATTGAAAGAATGGTTGGAAGAACCGTTAACTACGGCCGAACAGGCATATTTCGATTCTTGGAAAACCGATCGAGTTCTACAATTTGCAGCACTTGGAATATATTGCTACAATGGCCGTGGAGAACATGCACCAGTTGACTACATTCGTGATCTGCTTATAATGCAGAAGTGAGAAGAACATAGGAGGAGAACTTGACATTGCTTTTCTTTGCTTTTTCACTGTAGCTTCTTCTTAGATTTTTAATGCAATTTGTGTTTTTATTTTAATGAACTAAGAAACACAGATTAAACAAGACAGTTAATCACTCGTATGCACTTTTATAATACGAAGAAACGATTCTGCCATTTACACATTGAACAAAAAGCAATATCTACGAAATTCGGGTTCTTTTCAGTCACTCTATAATGGTGGCGAAACTGAGGAGGACAGGGCAGGCTGAGACTTGAGATCTCCATCCGATAATTTACGAAACTGATTTTGATAGCAATAAATCTAGCAAACTTTTCCAGGTCAGTGTAACATCACTTTAATCTCAGATCTTTTTTCTCGGAGAAGTAAAAAGTTGAAAGTAAGGTTTTTTAATCAATTTTCACCTTCCCCCTCAAGAAAATTGACGTATCTCAATCTTCAAACTGAAGAGTTATGAAAAAGGCAACGCCTTCAGTGTTCGGCTCTGATTGTCACCGAACGAGCTGTGACTAGGAGTTATCTAGGGTGTGGGTGTGGGTATGGATATCGATCTTCTTTTCACCCACACCAACAATCATCGTTTCGAACACCGTTTTCTCCGTCTTTACATAAGATTAAAAAGAGATGCAAAATAAATCTATGATTTAGACACTCTCTAATGATCAGTGGCACATAAATCGTGCTGATCTTATCTATCATAGTTGAGTGAATTGCATTCCGAAGCTTTTATGAAGCGCTTTCCTGAAATTGAAGTATATTTCATGTGTTTTTTATTATTGATCTATTTTACGTATCAAAAGATAGGTTTTACTCAGAGTTATTCAACATTGTGATCTCGTATAGAACAGAAAACATTATAAGTTAGATATTAAAAGGTGAAAATACAGCTGCAATAGTACTCATCATTTTCAAACAGAGACAACCATAAAGAATGCCACTCATCTTACAGTGGAAGAAGTCCCGTAACAAGGGACGAGGAAATACAGCTGAAGAAATGATGTAAACCGATGAAATATCGCCATTTGTTTTTTTTTGGGTTTTTGAAAAGAATCTGTTGGTTTTATAGCCATCTTAGGCTGCTTAAAATGTGTCTTTAATGATCTGAATGATTGACTTGACTGATTTTTTTTCTTTAAATTTGAATTAATCAAAATCGAACCGAATTTTAACAATTCTATCATTGAATTTAAAAAATACAAAAAAAAATTGATTATTTATGAAACAGCAAATAACTTAAGCTATTTCTTTTGTATTTTTGGTATTTGAAAAGAATAATTGTCTCCTATTAAATTTGTATGCACCATTTGTAGACATAGAATATAAACGATTTTGAATGAATACAAAAGAAAAACATTTCTTATCAATGAACAAGATAATTACAAATGCACCAGTCGAACTGGGTCATTGAAAGAAATATAGATAAAAGAAAAATTTTATTTGAATTGAAAAAAGAAATATTTATTTGTTCTTTTGAGAGATTAAATGTAGCTGAAACACATTAATTGTCACATAAGGAACGGTCATTATTATTTTGGCCTCGATCACTTAAAAACAAGCTCCTATATAAATAGACATAAATGTAAGTTACATAAACATTTTTTCTCATTCCAAATTTTTAGTCGTTTACAGCAATGCAAACGCCGATCTTCATATTGCTTTATGCAATTGCTTTTGTGTAATTGTCGACATACTCATTTTCTGGTAAGTTTATATTTAAACCTTTTAATATTACTCTAAATACAGCAGCTATATTTTTCATTTTTAAACAAAGCGATGAAGAGGGGTCGTTAATAAACAAAGTTGGCTCCATGTCGCCACTTAACTTAGTCTTTCTCATTTTGTCGATACAATGATCCGACATCAATTACCATCTAAATTAGCTCATACTCTTTCATTCATAATCTTAATCGATTCATATATTAAAATGAAGTTTTTTTTCAATTCTTTATTGAGTAATGTATGAATAAATTAGACAGGACTATTCTTTGCATTTCCTTATAAAGAGATATGGTTTATGACAAATACCAAATATGAAGCTGTATGACGAATATCACTTAATGCTCTTCTGTAATGGTAGTGATCCTCTCTGGATTGAATATCAATCGACAGATCTCATCAAGATCTAACAAATGATTGTCAAAAGCGATATATAAAATAGAAGGGTATAAATAGTTTACAAAATATTCTCACTTCGATGGTTTCAGCCCATGCAGACGACCCAGAACTGACTAGAAAGATGCGAAAAAGTCGTTGTATTCGGCCAGAAAACTCTGAAAATTGGTGGAACTAGGAGACAATATTCCATGCCAGAAGAGCACCGAATTTTTCATGTGACTTTCGGTGACTTCCTGTCGGAAAGCACAAAAAAAGCCAGTAGTATTCCAGCTCGGAGTACTGCCTCCTATTTCTGTTAGTTTTCGAAGTTTTTCGGCCGAAACTGAACTGTACCCAATGACCTAGGTTTGGGGCAAATTCATGTTATTGATGGTGGTATCACATTATTTTGAATAATTTTGTGTCATAGTATCTCACTCAAATTAGAAGTATAGGAGAAAGGAAACATTATTTGTTGTAAGAGTATAAGAAGCAGTTGTTGTATATTTGCTGTGACAGGCAATTTTAGAATATAGTAGAGATCAGAATAGCATTTTTAATTTTCTGGTAAGAAATATCGCTAACACATAAAAATCGAAACATGGTTTATACAGTGAGTAATTATCGTTTTTTTGATTTTCCTTCAATGTGTTTAAATTTTCATTATTAATCTTTTCTGATGATAGCAAGATGGGAAAAATAAATGATTCGTAAAGCTTCAACAATTAATAAATATAGAAGTTTCTTGAACTATTAATGACAAAATATTTCTATTTAAGATTCTCAGATAAATAATTACATATTCAAAGTTGGATTTCTATATAGATATTTGATATCTCTTAAAACAACTGAATCGAATGTATGACGAGCAGAGACGAAGTGAGAGAGACTTTTAAAAACAAAGGAATCTTATATCATGTGTACGTCTTATCATTATGATATGAGGGTATAATAAATGATTATAAGTATTAATGAAATTTAAATTTAATTTTTTATGTCTAAATAGTACATTGGAAGATATATGAAACAAAATAGGTCTTACAAAAAAACTCACTATTAACTGAGCGTCATTGAACTGCTTAAATTCGGAAACTGAAATTCCATAAATATTATCAAACTAATGAAATAAATAATTTTCTATCAACTACTTATCTTATACCAGTGATATTCGTGTAGTAGGACTGTTATCGCTGTTGACGCCATAGTAGTGGCAGTTTCGTTTTTGGAGATTGTAAAATTGTATGGATTTGTATCCCATTTGAGTATCTACGTGACTAACGCTCAGAATCATGATGAATCTGATGGATTAAATCTAATTATTCTAATTTAGCACAGTGACCGAAGACATTTTCCGAGTCTCTTAAAAATCATTGCGAAATCGGAAAATTGTTATATGGTGCACTCTACTGTGGCAGATTTAGATTTTAATCACATCACAGCAGTAGCTTCTGCAGCTGCAAATTTTCAGTCGTGATGAACGTATCTCTATTATATTCTAATAATATCAAAAGTTCAATACAACTGCTAATATCAATCACTGTATGACTCATACAATCAACATAATAGAACATTCACTTAGACGAAATGCACACAACAAAATTGTTCGTATTTTATTAGTACAATAGAAAGAAATTCTAAAAAAAAGTTTTTTCATTGTTGTACTTATTGTGAGTCTGTTTGCTTTTGTAAACTCTTGTTCACATGAATTATTTTGCATTGTTCATAAAAGTTTATTCCTAGTATAGAACTTTTTTCTGAGAGCTTTCGTTTTAATTATTTCGTGCATTCCAAACTCAACTAAATTCTCAAGTCAACTGTAACATACACTGTTCAGAGAACAAATTGAGCTTTCAATATTCTCAGCGCTCATAATGATTTATTATACGTCAATATCATAACCATAAAACAAACATGTAATGGAGTACTTCGATTGTTTTTAAAAACTTCCAACCCAACATCCTGCTCGTCTATGAAAAAACCACTATAAAAAATATTTTTTTTTAGTTTTATTAGTCATTGAATGTTACCATATCCTCATTACCAAAAAAATTATGACAAAAATTAAAACTCAATGTAGAGAAAAAAAAATACATTTAATCATTGCAAAACAATGCAATACTTATTTTTCAATCGCATGCAGCCAAACATTCCATGTCCCCGGTATTCAGATCATCAGAGAAGAAAAAACAAAAGTTATACTCATTATAGAAAAATATTATTGTTCATTTTACAAAGAACGAAAAAAAAAATGTTTTCAGATAAACTTAATTGATCATTCGATATTCCCATGTTCCGATCATCAAAAAAATAATTACTCATTCTACAGAAAACAAAAAGTAACTTTTTCATGTAAATTTAACCAATTATATCATATCTTAATAATGTTTGTTGGTCCGTCATTTGATTTAAGTCGAATTATAATACTCAATTAGCGAGTATTCGAGAATGAATTCTTTACTATTAAATGAAAAGCCATATTATTTCTGAAAGACTGGAGTTCGAGCAATATTCCTCTGCATTTATCTTCACCTTGAGATTTTTTCACAAAAATTGACTTTTTTTTGAAGAGGAGTAGGGATTAACTTGCACTAGATGAATCATGAACGAGAAGAAAAGGAAGCAATTTGAGAAACTGAACTTAGAACGAATCCAAATGAGAAACCATCAATAGAACCGAATCGAGTATAAACCACTTTTACCAACTTTATCTTTTTTCTTTATAGTTTCCATTTAAAGTGCAAAGGTCGTTTATAAAATGTTGAATTCAATTATTAGACTATGTTTCATTTCGATTAGTATTATACTCGCTATGATCACATTAACTATGATCTTTCGTTTTGCTTATTTGGTGAAAGACTATGATACTAATTTTATTAGTCTTCATTTAAATCATGCTATACATCATAATAAGACAATATTACCGCGTATATGTTGTTTAATACTAACAACACCAGTATATTTTCTTACACGTGTGAAAGCTATAAATGAAACTTGGGCACCACGATGTGATCTTTATTTTTTCATAACAGACTATAATCTAGACGAAATGACACCTGAAGAAATTAAATTTGCAGAACAAATACCCATTGCACCTATTGAAAACATTAAAGTTGGTTATGAACATCTAACACAAAAATCAAATTTAGCCTTTTTATTTGCCTATGAAAATTATTTGAATGATTCTGAATGGTTTATCAAAGCAGATGATGATACATATTTGATTGTAGAACATTTGAAAACATTTTTAAGTAAACAAAACTCATCAGAACCTATTACATTTGGATATACCTTTCAGGTAATTATGTATGACCTATTATCTATTGTGCTAATCGATAGATTGAATCATTTCATGTTGTTTCCTTAATGACTTAAATAAATGCAAATATTTATTTAACACACATACAAACAGGCTCTACTTATCTAATTTAGAAATGTAAAAGCTGAAACCGTCTTCATCGATTTTATACTAATGAAATAATACAGTAAATTATTAGGTCTTTCACAAAATGATCACATCAATAGTATTGAAAACACATTTTAGATAAAATACAGTGTTTTATCCAGATTTACCTCTTTTGAATGAACGATTTAAAACTTCGGTAGGATATACATCTAATTGTCGGAAGTCAGACACATGGTACGTGCTGAAAAAAAGCACAAGCTATGTTATAGTCAACCTGATCTTCGAAAAAGTGAATTCACTGTGATATAGTTTTCGTGAGATAGAAAAAGAAAAGAAAAGAAAAGAACTTCTTCTTTTATGATCCGTGTATTTCTCTAAGATCCATCAATACTCTGAAAATCGACTTATCTCAAGACAAAAGGCAACGAGAATACCGTTAGTGCCTATTAGCAAATGAATTTAAAATGTTTTTTTTTCCAGTCTGTTAAAATATGCTGATTCGTTCTTTTCTAATAATTGTAGCGTATTAATAAGACAAGAACTAGGTCATCATTTTGTAATGAAATCTTTTTTTGAAGTTGAATAATTATGATTTTAATTCATAAAAGACTCTTTAGATTAAAATTCTTTATTATTTTTATGTTCAGTTTCACGTTCGTAAGGGGTACCATTCAGGTGGAGCATCTTATGTATTAAGTCGAGAATCATTACGACGATTTTATGAAGCACATAACGATCCAGCAGCAAATTGTGCTAAAGATGGTGGTGCTGAAGATATTGAAATAGCAAGATGTCTTCGTAAAAAAGGTGTTTATCCAGGCAAGGCACTGGATAAAGAAAATCGTGAACTATTTCATCCACTTCCATTTCATGAACATTTTCATGGTGTCTTCCCTGATTGGCTTTTAAAACGTGCTGCAAACCCCTTACAATCTGTAAGTTGTTGAAAATAATGTTTTTTTCTTTTTTTTTAACTGTCGATGTATCTGTTTCGTTTTAGCACTACAATTGTTGTAGCAATCAAACTATATCATTTCATTATGTTTCTCCTGATGAACAATATCTTATGGATTTCCTACTATATAGAGCTCGTGTTTAATCCATCATCGTGGAGTCAAATGATTCAATTACATGAACGGAATAATCTAATGATAAGAAAATTTGTTTGAATTTTATTGTGTTTGTTTTTTTGCAATAGAAAATGAATTTTACATGTTTTTAAATGCTTGTTTAAAAGATACCAATAATACTTAAACTATGTTCCATAAGATTTGCAGACATTCATAATCTAACTTCTGATATGAATAATTAATATGTGTCAGTCGCTTTTTTCAGTATTTTTTTCTTTATAGGCATCTGAAAACAACTCAAACGTATCTAAATACAGCTTTCAATATCAAGAGTGACTTTAATAACAGGTAAAACACACACAGAAATTATATTTAATAATGTCCAGAAAAACATATGGTGTGCTCGTTGCTATAAGAGTGAAATAGCTTTAATCTAGAAAACATTCCAAGATAGATAAAACACCACAAAAGTCTGCTTCATTGGCAGAAATCTATTTTTATTCCAGAGTGACTGAGTCTGTTCAAAATTTTAATGAACGAGTGTTCTGCTCTCGACAGTTTTCATTGAAATTTTGATTATAGAATAATTCAGTTATGTAATATCTATTCTAAGATGGATAGTTTAAAAAAAGTAGCTGTTCATATGATATAGCCTTCTCCTGTAAAGCTAATGAACAAGAAGCCATATTGATATCGATATATCTTACTAAGATGTGCCACTACAAATTTGCAAGAGTCAAATTTTTCAATTCTTGGTTGTAAACGTTTTAGTCTCAAAATAGAAAAGTTTAGAGCAATATATTTGAAAAGAATTAATTGTCTTCGAATACGAATTGGAAAATAAAAATTTTGATTCTGTTTACTTAGAGTGTGACATGTAGTTCTGAGTATTAGCCATACACGTTTCTGCTCTACCGACCTTCATCAGATCGTTTTATGATAAGAACGTCTTTATATCAATAATGGAGTAGGTGTGGTATATAAGTATAAAATGATATTGACATCCACACTCACACACTGGAATATTGATTTCGAAAAATGATGGTGACAAATACAAGGCAGATATGTTTTGCTATATCGTAGAAGAATTCCGATGACATTTTTTGTTTCCAAATATTAATTTTCTCTTGAAAATTTTAGTGAAAGTGACTGGGAGTAGACCTTTTAGAATAGTATTTACTTGTTGTATCAAAAATACTTGTGACACAATGGCTGAGAAGAAGATCTCAGAATTGTAAACTTTTAAGCTGTGTCCATTGGTACCTTTCCGAGTTAAAGTGTGGCGAGAGTGAGTGTGAGTATATTTAACTAGTATCCTTTTTCTCGTGAACATTATACATTCTTACTACAAAAAAGGAATAATTATAATGATGCGAAACGGTCACAAAAAATAGATTGCATTGTACACATTATTTTCTCACTTCTAAAATCATTTTGATGTGGTCAAAAATAATTATTTTAATGCATTACATGAAAAAGCATTTTAATGTCATTTTACCATTTTCTTCACTGTCTGGGCTCCTTCTCTTCTTTCTGTTTCTCCCTTTCATTTCATATTTGAACTGATTTCATCTCTATCTTTTTCTAATTTGCGGGAATAATCAATTTCAATCTGTCTGAGTTCATCGACCTAGGTCAAACAATCAGACAGTAAGATCTTACAAGATCGTACCTCTAATCTTGTAAGATCAGATGGAAATTATACAGAAAATTGGGTGTGGGTGGGATCTCTTTAATCACATCAACGCCCACACTCCATACCCAAGGAGATATATCATATATACAGTTTTTTAGAGCAAATCAAGCTCTATCGATTGGTATATAACTCGATTTGTACAGTGAAAAAATTTCAAGATAAAAACGTACAAAAAGTGATAGGTCAGTTTTTGAGTTTTTTTCGGAATCTTTAGGGGTATACTTCAGGGATGTCTCAGTTCGGTCTACCCTAGCTGATCAGTAGTGGATCTTTAGACCGCAATATTTTTGATTATTCTATAGTAAACTATGGCCTAACTTCCTATGGGGTCAGATTTGAAATCTGTTAATCATCATGTCTTCGCTATCTATGGTTTTTTCACGAAGTGTCTCTTAAATAACAAGCGATCAAATGCATCATTTTCGAATAAAAAAACAAATATTTGATCTCAATAAAACTCGATGTTTAAGTGAAACAAACAACACCATCACAGATTTCATGACCATGGCGCTATGAAATTTTTTATTTCAAAGATTGAAAGTAAGAATGGATTGTAAACTGAGTGACGCGAAATTATGAATTGCGATCAGTAGTCGAAAGTATTTGATGGGTTTGGGCGGTGGCAGGGGATTTTTTGTAAGTTTTTGATGGTTGGACGAAGAGATAGTATGTCAACACTTGTGGGATAAAAGAGATAAAATGCGTGACAATCATCAACGTTCGATAATGAATATTATCCCATTGGAAACATTTCATAATCACTGTCATCAAGAGTTGTGGTGTTGAACAAATGATCATCAGAACTGGACAGAATAATTGTTCATGATATTGTTTGATTTGTTTCCAAACCTCCGAGATAAATCTTGATTGATGAATCTTCGCTTTACTTTGAGCGACTGTGCGTATAACGATTATTACCGCAAACATATTCAGAATGAATGGTAAGAGATGAATTATAAAACGAAAGATCATTTCTGTAATACGCCAGATTGACTCAGTATATTCAACTGTACATATGAGATGATTTGATTTGCGCGGATCGCTAATAAGACGATGAAACATCACTTCCGTTCCGTTTAAGATAAAAATGATCACGACGATTATCACTGGCCAAATGAATTTCTTAGGAGAATACATTGGAATAATACGTAGTTGACGAACATACCAAGCACGACTGATGGATAAGAGAGTAGTGTAACATTTACTTACATAAGCAAAGCAATTCAGAAGATAAGACGTTGATCTACAGAGTATTCTATTGACTGGTGATTGATCCAAAATCTGATATTGATTTAGAATCACATAAAGAATTTGTATTAGAAGACAGATCAATGTTATTTGATTAGTAAATGCTGTTAAACGAATATAGCGAGGAATAGTCGAGCGACTACTCTGATTCGAAACTAATTTCAAATGCGTGAAAAGATTGCTCAGTAGACCCACTATTGCCATAACTGCAGTTATGGTTACATAGATCCAAATGGTATAGGTTGAATGAGGTTGAATGGTATCTAACATTAACAATGATTCAAAGGCGAAACTCAAACGATCCATACGGAATTCACATAATGAACCATACACACATGCTGGACAGCGACAAAGAAAATCTTTTCTACTATTTTTTTGTTCACCAGCATAACATTGTCCACTGTTGAGACAATAATCACAACGATCAAATTCAAAATCATAGAAGAAACATACTGATCGTCGTGTTGTAGTATTACAAAAACAAAAATAGATCAGAGGATCATAGAAACAGAGAACACTCTGATTGTTTGATATTTGACACGGTCGATGATATCGCTTCATTACAGATAATAATGCTTCTACAGAATAATTCTTCGGAATTAGATTGAATTCGTTCACATGAGCACATCTCACTTTATTCTGTTCATCTAAATGGAATTTTGAATAATTATGACCAAGATACATTAGATAGACATGTGTCTGATCAATTTCATGAACTTTTACTAATCCAATAGGAGGAAGTTGAAAATTGTCATAAAGCAAATGTTCGATATGACGTAGCATTAGATGTTGACGTTTGATGTGAAATTGCATCTTCGTCGAATCATAATCAATCAATTGAACAATACGTATCGATGACGATTGAACAGTTTCATTACTAAAATTCAATGATAACGACGCCTTGGTGTATTCACATTGTTCTCCAAAATGATTTTCTGAACATGAACAACGAAATTCGGTCTGATGAAAATCATTTGTATACGATATACAAGTGCCTTCATTTTGACAGAAATTCACTTGACAAGGTTGGCTTTTCAGATGACAAGTGGGTCCATAGTGGTCAGATGGACAAATACAAGCAAGATGCTCACCATTGAATCGTAATCGATGGCTACCAGATGCACAGGGATTAGGAAATTCTAACACATCTTCATCGAGATTTCCATACATGCATTTATTCTCTTTGTATCGCAAGACAACAGCCAGACGAAATGCAGGGAGAAAGGAGAATTTTACAGGATATTCTTTGAAAGACAAGAGTTCTACGAAACTGGTATTGGCTGCGTACAAGCGAAATTGCACTCGATAGTTGTTTGACAATTGTCGTAAATCACGATACAAAGATCGAGGATAGTTTAGGTAGAGTCGATGTTTGCCAGTGAAAGATGGATGTTGAGTGATGACCATGTGATCAATACTTTGATTTCCGTTCATTAACACAAGACTGATGCGAAGGACATCCGTTTTAATCGGATCATCGATCTTCATTCTGAAAATCACTGTCAAACGATGACTATGTTTTTCACATCGCCGACCAAAAAAACTAGGAGGACAAAGACACGCTAATTGGTCATAACGCAAGACGACTAAACCACGATCACAGTACCATGGAGAGATACTAGTGTGAAAAGTACGTTGTAATGTGGGTAGCATAAATGGTCTAGATTTGATAGGTGGTTTATCACGTGGTTTGATACACATCAATTCATCGCGAGAAGAGATATTACAATTAATACTTCCAGCATTACATCGATTGTCGTTCGGAATACACGGACCAGAATCATTTCGTTCCTGACAAGCAAAAGTACGAGCAGCACAAGTATTTGTCATCGAGGGAAAATCTGCTCCACACCAAAATTCGGACTCATCCTCACCATCTGAACAGTCAGGAACATGATCACAGAGAAGTTTTGGAGGAAGACATTTCGCTTGATCGTTGCACAAAAATCGTTCATTCAACGGAAAGCCTTCAGCACAAGCAAATGTCACACGCTCGTCAATTCCACCAGAACATTCAACCTTTCCATTTCCAGCAATCTCATTACTTTCATTCAATCGAATCCGCTGACCTGTAGTCAACAGAAGACATTCTGGCACAGGATATTTGTCCGTTTCATTACAATGATATTCATCACTTCCATCTGCATAATCCCAGGCATGATTACACTTCCATTCTAGATTGATGCAATTTCCACTCCATCGACTCTGCTTTGTGTATTGTTTGATCCAACCGTCTTCACATATCCATTCTTCGCAATCTGTCTCATCGGAACCGTTTCTTAAATCCCAAATCGAATCACATAAACTTGCAAATGGTAAAATATATGTCGACTGTTTTTCGTTATCCGTATCATATAAATCGCGTAAAAGAGAACAGGCTAAATCTTCAGGTTGCAGACATTTGTTCTGTTGCCAATTCACAGAAAGACTCATCTCGTCCGTTCCATTAGGACACTGACTCCGTCCATCTCCTGCAAGTAAAAATATTAAATGACTATTCAATTGACAACAGAATTGAAGTCGAGAAATATTTACCGAGAAAATAGCGCATGATTGCTGACGATCTGACACCGTTGATCGAGCAATAATATCGATCTTTCAAAAATGATGGTGACAATGAATGAAATGCTTGCAAATCCTCTTCATCGGACGAATCGATACAATCAGGAAATCCGTCAAAGAGGCGATGTTTAGAGATACATTCTCCTGATCTTTGACAATGATAGAAAAAACTGGTGTTTGTACAATAATTGCTTGAAGGACGGATCGATTGACAAAAGACAAATTCGTAAGGAGAAAATGGATAGTTTCTCTCAAATATCTCGTCGTAATCAATACATATTGTTCCATTTTGGATCACTTTAACACCTTGACAAGTATATTCCCCAATCAAACAAAACTGTCCAGGTTGACGCATTTTCATCAGAGCAAAAAAATCGCTATTACTTGTTTGAAATTGACGAATCGTGTAATACACACGGATAAAAGGTGACAAAAAATGAATACCCGATGCGTAAACAATTTGAGTTCGATTTCGGCATAAAATGTGGATCTGCCTAATGGCTTCCTCATATGTCTTAAAAAGCATACCGAGCGTGGCGCAAGTGGGATGCAAAGTCATAGCACATTTGATCATCATCCTGCAGTGATCATCGATTGCATTCGATTCGGTAATGTTCTGCTGACATCGACCATTGTCGTCCGTAAGACTAAATTTAACGCTTTTTCCATCACGTTCTTCTAATTCACAGTTGTACACATGTGTATAAGAATTACTACAGTCAAATCCATTCCAAAATCGTCGATTCCAGGCAATACATTCGCCGTCACCACAAGATAACCATTCACGTCCACACCAGTGTTCATCGCAATCAAAAGTGGCTTGTTCGTAGCAATGTCGAAAGTTACCATACCTTTCATAGAGAAGATTTCGTTGTTCATCGCTTAGATCAGGACAATCAGCTTGACCATCGAATAAAAATTCACGATCAATACATAGACCAGTACGACATCGAAATTCATGATCAGCACAGATGTTTATTTCAATGCGTTCACAATGAAGTTCATCTTCACCATTCTCCGTATCCCATTCCTCATCGCAGATATCTCGATAATCGATGCATCGTTCTTTGTTGTTGATCAGCTCATAACATGGTAACAAACGTTCCACTGGATACGACTTTTTCTTTCCATCACTGGACGATTTGAAGAGGCCTTCTATTGTATCGATACCTTCTTGAAACGAATATTCACAATAACGACCAAAAGTAATGGAAGATGAACAATTACAAATATATTGAAATTGATCATCAAGACTCATACCCGTCAAGAATGCACTGTAAAGATCGACGATGTCCACTGGTATCTGCCATAGGAGTAAATCACTGACATTCACGCCGGCTTCTTTCAACTGTTCAAACGTGATCCGATTGCTTTTATAACAAGTATCGGATTGTGAGACAGTCTGCTGATCATCTGTACGAAGACAAAAATGCAGATGATCATCGAACTTGTTAAACGCATTTGGTAAGAGAAAACAGTCCTTATATGATTGATTCCTATTCAGTGTATGTTCCAGGATCAATAGAGCAGATGCACTAATGTAGAAAATAGTGAATAGTAGTAACAGAGAATATACCAACATCATTCTGAATAGTCAGCAGACACTCAGTTGATAAAGAGTGACTTTTTTCTCTTATTTGCATGGCATGTTAGTCGTGATGATACTAGAATCAGCAATATCACAGCTACATTTATCTACGTGCTATTTCCTGTTTTCATTCCAGTGCCAAGGGAACAAGCCTCATAGAATTTTTCAATATGTATTCTCATAAAAAATGAGAGTATCCAAAGACTGAGAAATAAAAATCCCTACTCAATCTCTATCTCTTCAAACTTTGCTGATTCACAATATTAAAATAATGTATCATCTATGACATTTTCGCACTCACACCTACATCCACGAAGAACTGTGTAAAAATGAATATCCTATGTGAAAAATAGCGTACGAAATTCACGATCGGATCCATTGAGAATCAATCCCCGATCTTCGTTGGAATTATCGTCACTCTGTTGGTAGTTCTCCGCCAGTTTAGAAATTCATATTTCTCAATTCTCGAACACTGCTGAAATGATGTGTTATTTCATTTTTTCAATAAACAAATAATCAAGTATAGGGTGTGGGTGTGGATGTCGGTATGTGTGGGTGGAGTGAGTAATGATACCCAGATCCACATTCACACCCACGCCGACATCTACACCCACCCACATCCACACCCACACCCACACCCTTCATGCAATTCTTATGTTTCTGAGCTAAGATTTATATTAACGGAGGAAGAATGAGCTTAACTAATATGTATATCAGATTACACTGTTGAATGTTATTTGAATAAGGAAAAAACATAATTCATTTATACTAACTACATTAATAAATATTGAAACTTGAACTCTATTTTTCAGCTTCAAACACAAATTATCAATTTATAACACCAGATCAACAATATACAACAGCAACTAAACAATGTTCAACGAAATTCAATTGTTCAAGCAAATGCACCTGTTCAACAAAATGTACCTCTTTGTTAGCTCTATATGTATAGAACGAAAGGGCAAGCAGTGTCACTGATGTTATGTGACAGAACGAAGAAAAAGATGACTTTCATGGGACTCGAACCCATACCTTCTGCTATCCTGGCAGATGTTCTAAGCCAATTAGACTAGAAGGAACATCTTAATCTTCATTCAGCGTCAGTATGTTTTATCTCTGACGCTAACACTCTTCAACAAAATATAACCAGAGGCACGAGACACGCCAGATTTCTTTTGTCAGATGATGAAGATGAAGATAATTAAAACAAAAAAAAAGTATATCTTTAATTTTTGCATGAATTTAACAAGCTAAGTCTTGTTTTTTCTTTTTATAAAATATTAGTTTTGATGTAGAATATTTCTTTTTGTAAGTAGTTACAATAAAAATACAAACACACCCATATCCCAACTCCGAGTTCGGATCTTTTGCTAATTATATGAATAATTACATGTATTTCTATAATATATGAAGAGAAATTTGATAGATTTCCCATAAATTTAAGGTTATTGTTTTCGATCTATTTTCATAAGACTGAAATTTGTAGAGGCGTGGAAACTTTCTTTTTTTGGAAATTTGAACATATTTCAAATTGTGCATGTCAATACAGAAACGTTGTATTTACGCAATTGACTATCAGAATAATTCTTCATTAGCATGCTAATATATGCAAGAATTTAATTTTATTCATTCTTCAGCATATCTTTATTTATTTCTCATAAGAATCAATTCGCTCTCATACTCCTACATCATGTAGGTTCAGAAATCGTTTTCAAATTTTCGAACTCATCAATAGTTATTAGTATTCATGCTTACACGTGTTCCATAGTGTCTGACAACCCTTAAATTCTTCAGTTTTAATTACAAATCAAATATCGACTTATGATTGAACTACGGAGCAATTCATCTTATAAAGCAAAGTATGAATGCTCGAGCCTCATCTCCAAACAACCTCTACCAGTTTCATGTACGTGTATTGCCCGTATCTATCATTATAGATGTATGTTCTACGAACTCTGAAAGTTTCATTCCATTACGATACACTTGTCGTAAAACTAAAGTACACTGCCAGCAAAAGTGTCTTATTCTCATCATCCATGACTATCATTTATAAATCAAGAGATTTTTAAACTACTGAGCATTTCATTTACTCGAATATTGTTAGTTGTTCTTTTTGCTCCATAAGCAATGAAGTGGCACATATTAAATTCCTACCAAAATGTTTCATTACATATGTACATGTTTGCTGCATAAGACAGCTGTCATTTATTTCTGCACATTGTTACACGTTTTTGTTGTTCATCTATTATATTTAATGTTTTTTTTTCAGTTTTAAAACCAGTTGACAATTAAAGCTTTATGAACATCTCGTATAAGCTAATCGATGCTATTTTCATTGGTACAAATGTAATAAGCCAGTCAAACAATATGTCATATATGTTTTTCATGTTTTTTTTTGAAATTCTTTGTAACTTCTTTTGTTGTTGCATGAAGTTCTTTATTCTTTTTTGCTGTTGTATGAATTTCTTCATATTTATTTTTTGTCTTATTGTTGTGTGAAAGCCTTTATAGTCTCTTTGTTTTATTGTGGTTGTATGAATGTCTTCAAACCATTTTCTTGTTATTGTTTGAAGACCTTGAGGGTATGGGTGTGGATTGGAGGGCTCATTCTCAAAAGAGATACAATTTCTTTTTGTGTATAATTGGTATCAAATGACTTCGAAGAGAAACTTGTTCAATGATTTCCTAGTCTAACTACTGATCATTGTCATAGCTATTTAATACTGTCATAGTGACCTAAAGATCTTGTAGCTATTTAAACGTGCCATAGCTATTTAAAGGCTTCCATAGCTATTCAATCATTTGTATAGCTACTTAGTCTTTCACATGGCTTTTTAAACTTATCATAGCTACCTAGAGATCTTCTAGCTATTTAAAGTTGCTATAGCTATTTAATCTTTCACATGGCTATTTAATCTTATCACAGCTATTTAAAGATCCTATAGCTACTTAAAGTTGCTTTAGCTATCTAATGACTTGCACAGCTATTTAATCATTTACATAGCTATTTAATGCTATCATAGCTATCTAAAGATCTTGTAGCTATTTAAAGTTGCTATAGCTATTTAATGATTTGCATAGCTATTTAATCTTTGACTTGGCTATTTAATGCTATCATAGCTTTCTAAAGATCTTGCAGCTAATTAATGATTTGCATGGCTATTTAATCCTATCGTAGCTATCTAATGATCTTGCAGCTATTTAAACTTGCTATAGCTATTTAAAGATTTGCATAGCTATTTAATGCTATCATAGCTATCTAAAGATCTTGTAGCTATTTAAAGTTGCTATAGCTATTTAATTATTTGCATAGCAATTTAATCATTTACTTGCCTATTTAATCTTATCATAGCTATCTAAAGATCTTGTAGCTATTTAAAGTTGCTATAGCTATCTAATGATTTACATAGCTATTTAATCATTCATTTGGCTATTTAATCCTATCATAGCTTTCTAAAGATTTTGTAGCTATTTAATGATTTGCATAGCAATTTAATCATTCATTTGCCTATTTTATCTTATCATTGCTATCTAAATATCTTGCAACTATTTAAAGTGGCGATAGAAAAGAAAAAAAACCTAAATCATAGTCTGAGATTTCTAACAATAAAAAATACTGACAATTATATGTTTATTCTTATAAGCATCAAAAAGAATACTACGTTATCATCACTAGTAGATAATTTGCTCAAATATTCATCCTACCTTGCTGATTCTTCAGAACAGGGTTTGTTTGGTTGATATGAGGATGAATTCGTTTTTTCCTTATTTCATCTTTTTATCATATAATATCTTTTACTTTAATAAAAAAAAGCAAAATAAACCATGAGTAGAGATTTGTTTGGTTGAGTGAGAATGAATTCGTTTTTTTTATGTAATCTTTCTATCATTTAATATCTTTTACTTTGAAAAAAAAATAAACTACGATCAGGGCTTTGCGTTTGGTTGATATCAGGATGGATTGTTTTTTTTTATTTCATCTTTTTATCATCTAATATCTTTTACTTCAAAAAAAATAAAATAAAATAAATCACGAGCAGAGGATTGTTTGGTTGATGTGAAGATGAATTCGTTTTTTTTATTTTATCTTTTTATCATCTAATATCTTTTATTTCGAAAAAAATAAAATAAACCACGAGCAGGGAGGTTGCTTGGTTCATGTTAGGATGAATTCAAAAAAACCAGAACGCAAAACAATGAGCCACGCAGCTATTTAAATAATTCAGTGTCACTGCTATTTTGTTTAAATTGCTAGCTAACTATGAGAAACACAGTATCAAAGCTTTTAAATAGCCAAAGTTTCCTTTAAATAGCAACATTTCATTAAAAAGTATCTCTTTTGAGAATTTTAAATAGCCACAGCTTTCTTTAAATAGCGAAATGTTTAATTAAAAAGTATCTCTTTTGAGAATTTTAAATAGCCAAAGCTTTCTTTAAATAGCGAAATGTTTAATTAAAAAGTATCTCTTTTGAGAAGCTATGGGATTGGAGGCATTTAATCTCTTCTAATACTCACACCCACACCCCACACCCAAGTCTTTCGTTGGTGTTCTTGTTTATTACTCTTCACAACGCTGTCTCTCAAATCATTTATTTGCGCATTAGTACTGGGAGTCTCTATCACGTTATCGTCAACGTATACTGATTCGGTTTCACCTCACCTGAGGATTCACCGTCTTCTGTTTCTTTTTACGAATTAGAGAAAAAAACAACTGCCAGTAGTTAAAATAAACTGCGTCATTCCTTGATTGCTTATCAGATTCATTCTACGCAGGTGAAAGTAAGCACTTAAATCCACCTTGTCTAAACACATCATGTTTTCCGCGAAAAACTCGAGAGGCTGTATTTGCAGGAACCAATGTCTGCATAAATTTATCCAATGGCTTAAATGATGCGGAAAGTGCCTCTGCTTCAAGAATACATAACCAGCGAATACACAGTGTTCGCTCGAGCCTAAGTTAGGTGAAAAAAATATTAAAAGATAAGTCTGTGATCATGAAATTAGGAATCAATACAGTAAACTGGTACAGTCCGTATTGTCAGAACCAGTATGCAATATAGCTTTTGAACAAAACCATAAATTCAAGTAGCAGAATGATTGTGGAAAAAAATAAAGAGTTGTGTTATCTTCATTAACTAGCTGCCGGCATTCAATGCCTTGATATAAATTTAACAATATCACAGTAGAATATGGATATTATGCTCACAGTCGCACATTCCTACTACACATAAACCTACTCATACAATCGACACCCGTCTCTTGGCTTAAATTTCACTGGAAAGTTTTTCTTGAAAGGATTCTAACTAAGAAAAAGAGAGCTGTCTGAGACAGCATATATTTCTGGCACAATAAACAGTCCGATAGATTTATCTATCCAATATTGCTTTCAATATCAATCGGCGTAGGTTCATAGTATGTCGCTATCATCTTATGAACAGACACACTTCTGAAGAGTCCTGAGGCACCTTGTTGTACCAATTGGCTACCGTCTTCATATATGGTAGTTAATGTTGATGTGAATTTAATATCAGCTTCTCCATCTAATAAACCCAAAGTGGCGCGTACTTTTGAGCGAGGTGGTGCAATCAGTTCCAATTCAGATGTAAATGTTTCCTCATTACTTATTGATTGGCCATATTGTGTTTCAAATGTATGTTCAACACTGATCTCAACACTAATATAGAATAAAGCGCTGATTTCAAAGGTAAAAAATGTTTATTCTACTTGATTAATACATACCTTGTCTGTGCAGCGCTAGGTATACCAGCAGTCATGGTTATTTTAGCACCCACCTAAAGAATAAGTAGGCCATTGAAAAAAAGAAAGAAACAATGATCTGCAAGGACTCTCACCTTAAGTGCGTAACTAAAACTCCATGTATTTGTTATTGTTGTTGCAATGGTTCTTGACTTGGTCATTTTTTGTTGAGTACTCATATAATTGATAGCATCAATTTCTAAAACTGACGTCGGCTTTTGTGAATTAAATAGGACTGCATTAGCAATGTCATATTGAACATTCATTACTATGTACTCACGAACTACAACGCAAAGTGAAATGGGTAATTTAGTTATTCAAAAGTAAGAGATTCCAATGTTTGCTTTTAATGTTACCTATATCAGTTCTTATGACATTTCCATAGAGATGTGCTTCGCTATACTGAACACTGTGTTCAGGAAGTCTTTGCGATGTTACTATTAATCGATAACTTTTCGCAGCCATGGTGTTATTTAATGTTTGCCGTTTTCCAAAGCTCGATCGTCCCGGATCAATTTTCAACCCTGTTTCTCCCATATAAATCAATTTCCAGTTTTTTCCTATAGATTGATCATCACTAGTTACATTCGTACCTTCCAAAGTAATTGTCAGTGGATCTCGTTGAGGACGGTCATTGCCTGTTGCAAACTGGAAACTAGTGACGATCGATAATCCATATTGTGGTGTCACTATAAATCCAGTACCAACCCCTTTTGTTGGAGATGAAAGTGATTGAGGTCCATTGCCTTGATTATTATATTTAGTCCAGACATTATTATCAATGGCATGTTCTGGACTTTCTTTTGGATAGTAACTACCGGCATCATTTCCATCCATACTAGCCGGATTGGTATTACCACCCGCGACAGTATTGAAAATTCCAACAATTCGATCGTTTGATATTGTCAGAAGTACGTTTTCTAATGGTTCCGGCTCTGGTTCTGGCTCTAGAACAATATAAAAACGAGTAGTACGAAATAAACACAAGAATGAACAACACACACCTGTAATTGTATTTTCTGTTGTATTAAAAACTTCCGAAGTTCCTATTATTGATCTTTCTATTGTCGGACGATAGTAGAGTATACTTTCACTCTAGAAAATAAAACAAACCGCATATAAAATACTTAATCTCGACCTCCATCGATGTACTATCGTACTCCAGAAACTGAAAATGGTAGTGTACTACACTCACTTGATTTCTTTTATTGGTAAAAGTAAAATGTGTACAATTAATACTTTGAAAGTATTTTATCTCAGAACAATGGATAACTGTATGGGTGAAGTAACACCAAACCAAAAGTAAAGTCGCAATGGTTTTCATCGTCAAATACTTGTAATATTTTGCTTCTCCAAATAGTTTCAGCGGTTGGCACGAATATATAGTCTCTCTAAAAACAGTTGTCTAGACTGAAATCGACGAATTTTTGTTTCATTATTTCGCTTACCTTTCACAAACAACAACGAAGAGGTAGTGTGCTATTTGTGACAAGAACCTCTTGCCTTATTACTAGACTCATAAAGTAAATATAGAACTAAATAAAAAAATATTATTCTCTGATAACATGATATTCATGATTAACTGCAAAAATAAGGTAGAACACTAAACCGTTACATTTTCGGCAAGTCTTCTTAGATCCATAGAGTTTATGCTGGTTTTTTAAATCTTTCAAGGGTTCCTGAGCACAAGTGTTTATGGCTAATAAAAAATAGCTCATTGTTCGATGGCTTTACAAACGTCGAGGGTATGTGTGTGGGTTTCTTGAAGGTTCGGGCGAGGGTGTGAATATAATTGTGGGTGTGGGTGTGTGGGTGTGTGGGTGTAGAATGTGAGGTGTGTGAGGATGGGGGGTGCAAGTGTGTGGGGTGCGGGGTGTGGAGGTGCGAGGGGTGGGGTGTGGGGGGTGGGTGTGGGTTTTAGTTAATCATCCTCATCCACATCCACACCCACACTCACACCCACTCACACCCCACACCCACACCCATTGAAGAGGATCAAATGCAGTTATTTAGAAAGAGAAGTCAATGTTCTTTCTAAATGAATATTCAGATTTTTTGTTCTGAACTACAGCTATTTAGCTGTGAATGAACATTTAAACTAAATCAAAAATACTATTTGCACTAAGTCAAGTTTTTTTTTGTCATTCCTAATTTCTCTGGATGAAGTTTTGGAATCATTATGACTGTCTAGTATTATAGAAAATTTAATTTTTCATCAAACTATCTGTTAGATCGTGCAAGAAATCATAAGCTTTAAACACATTTCGAGGGTGAGTGTGCATGGCCGCACGTGTGGTGTGTGTTGACGTGAATGTTTAATACAATAAGAATCTCACCGATACCCCACCCACATGCATATGCTCGCACGATCATACGGCTACGCGCCAACATCAAAACCTCAACACTTGCATTCGCACTCACAAACTCATATCTGCACAATCACACATAATTTCACCCAGTCATCCATCCACCAGCTCGTAATGTATGCAAAACAAGCTAGTGTACCGACAATCTATGTTAATGGTTAGTCTTTCTATTTTTTAGAGAATTC